CCCGACCACTTTATTTCGGCGTCGTCGTCGCCCCCCCCCCATCCCCCTCTCCCGAGCAGCCCAGCGCGCCGCCCCCTTCGCCCCGACCACTTTATTTCGGCGTCGTCGTCGCCCAGCAGCCCAGCCCAGCGCGCCGCCCCCTCCGCCCTGACCATTTTATTCTCTGGCACAGGGTGTCTAGAGCTCCGACCATTTTATTTCGCGTCGCTCCCCCCACCCCCGCCCCCCCGCGTCCTCAGCGCCAGAGTGGGGCCCCCGCGCCGTGGCTCTCTGCCCAAGCCCCCCCGCGTCCCCAGCGCCCCAGCGGGGGCCCCGCCCACTGCCCCCTCCGCCACGAACGCTTTATCCCGCGTCGCCCCCCCCGCCCCCCCGCGTCCCCAGCGCCAGTGTGAGGCCCCGCGCCGTGGCTTTCTGCCCCGAGCCCACCGCGTCCCCAGCGCCCCAGCGGGGGCCCCGCCCACTGCCCCCTCCGCCACGAACGGTTTCTCCCGCGTCGCACCTCCCCCCCCCCCCCGCGTCCCCAGCGCCAGTGTGGGACCCCTGCGCCGTGGCTCTCTGCCCCAAGCCCCCGCGTCCCCAGCGCCCCAGCGGGGCCCCCGCCCACTGCCCCCTCCGACACGAACGCTGCATTACGCGTCGCACCCCCCCCCTCCGCGCCCCCAGCGCCAGAGTGGGACCCCCGCGCCGTGGTTCTCTGCCCCGAGCCCCCCCGCGTCCCCAGCGCCCCAGCGGGGGCCCCGCCCACTGCCCCTTCCGCCACTAACGCTTCATCCCGCGTCGCGCCGCACACCACCTCCCCCACCTCCCTCCCCGCGTCCCCAGCGCCCCAGTGGGGGCTCCGCCCCGTGCCCCCTCCGCCCCGACAATTTTATTCCGCGTCGCGACGCACGCCACCTCCCCCCCTTCCCCCCCTTTCCCCAGCGCCCCAGTTGGACCCCCGCCCCGTGGCCCTCTGCCCCAAGCCCCGCCCAGTGCCCCCTCCGCCCCGACAGTTTATTCCGCGTCGCGGCACACACCACCACCCCTCCTCTCCGCGCCCCCAGCGCCCCAGTGGGACCTCCGCCCCGTGCTCCCTCCGCTCCGAGCACTTTATTCCGCGTCGCGACGCACGCCGCCTCCCCCACCCTCCCCACCTGGGACTTGGGCCCCGTTGCTGGGCCCAGAGGGCGATGCCTTGCCCCCTCTTCCCCCCTCCTCCACCTCCTCTCCTCCTCTTCCTCCTCCTCCCCCTTCCTTTTTTGCGCAAGGGGTATGGCACACGTGCCACTTGTTGCAGCGCGCTCGCTCTCCCGCGAGGCCAGACAGGGAAACAGCCCCTTGACTGTACAGAAAGGCTGGCGCTCCAGAGGTCACAACCCGCTGCAACTTGCAGCGCACGCGCGCCCTCGAGGCCACACCGCGTGCAGATTGCGATGCGCGCGTGCTCCCGCGGGCCGCAGATCCCGCGCGAATTCGCACCTGTTCGCTCCCCCGATGGCCCCCCCCCACCCCCGCGCAAGTTGCATCGCAGTCGCGTTCCCGGGCCACGGGCTCGCCCCAAGGAAAAATTGGTTTGTTTTTCGTGTTGTCTGTTGAGGTATAGGCCCGAAGGTTGTTGCTTTTTGCAGGGCCGAAGGCACCCCCTCCGCTCGCCCCCACCGCGCCCCTTTTCTAGATCAGCAAAGCCAGAGCGGCCTGTCGTGGTCGGGGGGGCACTTTCCCCTCCCCCCCCCGCCGTGTTGAGAACTCGGCCCTGGGCCCGAGGCCACAAACTCGAAACTAGCGAGGGGCGCAAGGATCCCAACGACAATCGCAAACGTACGATTTTGTCCATGATGGCCTCACGCAATTCCCAATGCATCCAATATACAACATGAGGCAAACATTCGAATGAGGCAACGAAGAATCCAGCAGGCCAGTTTCTTGTTTGGTGCATCTCCCTGGGTCACCCCAGCTCGTCTTATGCGCTGCGCGAGGCTGCGAGCCTCGCGCCCCTGCAGAAGAGCAACTGTCCTGCTCAGAACGCCGGACGTGAATGGCAAACGCCGTCGCGCTCCTGCGGGTGGTCTACTCACCCCACCGCCGGCCATCTCCTTGACACTCTGCGCCTACGCTCGGCTGCTATCGCACACTCTCCTCCTTTTCTGGTCCATTCCCGCAGGCGCGCTATCTTCCATTGCCGCCGTCGCCGAAGAGCGCGCCCAGCCGACGGCGATCAGCTGTAAAACGCGGGGCGGCCATTGAATACGAGTGCGACCCGCTGGTTTGACCCAGAAGTAAGGGGATGCGGAGGGGTGCCGTTCACCAGTCCGCCGCTTGGGAGCCCGGTGGCATCCCCCCCCTTTCCGATCCATCGACGGGGCCCCTTCCGTCCCAGGATGGGCAGGGGGGGGCGGGCACCCTCCTCGGCGATCAAGGCCAGGGACTAGTTGCCAACTTAGGTCAGACTGAGGGGGTCGAACGGTCATTCACTGTCCCTGGGTGCGTGGCTGAAGTGGGATTCCGCCGTGCGGACTCTCGTTGTTGTTTGTTGTTGTGACCCACCCGCGACCCACCCGCGACCCACCCGCGACCCACCCCGCGACCCACCCCGCAACCCACCCCGCGACCCACCCCGCGACCCACCCGCGACCCACCCGCGACCCACCCGCGACCCAGCCCGCGACCCAGCCCGCGACCCAGCCCGCGACCCACCCGCGACCCACCCGCGACCCACCCGCGGCCCACCCTGCGACCCGCCCACGGCCCACCCCGCGACCCACCCGCGACCCACCCGCGACCCACCCGCGACCCACCCGCGACCCACCCCACGACCCACCCGCGACCCACGCTCGACCCAAACCGCGTTCAAGGTACAAACCACAATTTTCGGCGCCCGCGGCGGGCTTTTTTGGCATTCCTTCCAGGTGGAGAGCCCGCGACCCACCCCGCGACCCAAACCGCATTCAGGATGCAAACCGCATTTGTCGGCGCCTGCGGCGGGCATCTTTCGCATTCGTTTCAGGTGGAGAGCCCGCGGCCCACCCGCGACCACGTTCAGGGTATAAACCAAATTGTTGGGCGCCTGCGGCGGGCATGCAAACAAATTGTTTCGGCGCCTGCGGCGGGCTGTTTTTGCATTCCTTCCGGGTGGAGGTGGAGAGCCCGCGACCCACCCGCGACGTAAACCACGCTCACTGAACAAACCAATGCCGCACAAGCGCGGCGGCGGATTTTTGCATGCCGTCTGAGCCCGCAACGACCTCTTCAAGCCCCCCGCATCCACACCAACCCGTCTAGCAACTTTGCCCTGGCGAGTTGCCTTGATCAGAGAAGTCGGGGAGCATAAATGGAATAAAAGGATTGCGTTGCCGTTATCTTGGGAAAGGAGGGGGAGGCAGGAGGAGTAAACAGGAGACGAGGAGGACGCGGAAGAAGAGAGGATGTAAAGAGAATGTGGAGAAAGAGGAGCAGGTGGACGAGGAGGGGGAGGAGGGGGAGGAGGAGCACGAGGAGGGGGAGGAGGGGGAGGATGGGGAGGAGGAGGAGGATGGACGACAATGGGAGGACGATGATGGAGGCCGATGAGGGGGAGGACGACAATGGGAGGACGATGATGGAAGGACGAGGGGGGGAGAGGGAGGACGAGGAAGAAGAGGAGGACGAGGTGGATGAGGACGATGACGATGACGATGACGATGAGGACGAGGACGAGGACGAGGAAGAGAAGGAGGAGGAGGAGGAGGAGGAGGAGGAAGAGGAGGAGGAGGAGGAGGAGGAGAGCGTCATCGACAGGGAAGGTGGGGGCCACGAGGTCCGCCGGCTCGACGACGCTCGCGTCGCCCGCGCCCGCCCCCTCACTCTTATCCGCAATTGCGGGGTGTTACGTATAACATGCTTGCGTCCACGTTCTGGAAAGATGCACGTTCTTCTCGTACTCCATGCCACTTCTGCCCCGTGACAGATTGCCCGATTGGGTGCAACATGTGTTAGTTTTATCAAAAATCGTACAGTCAAAACGTATAGTGAGGACGCGTGGTAAGGACGCGAGACCCTTGGATGCTGAAGTTGGGATTTTTCTGGGCGGCGGCGACCAGTGAAAACGGCCAAGGACGGGCCACAGGAGCAAGGACGCAAGGGCATCCTAGCTGAAGGCGCGCGTCCTTACTAGCCGCGTTGACTGTATGGTAATGGTAACGCTTACGGCAGGTTCGTGTCGTGCCGACCCCAGCGTTGGTTTTTGACACCGCAGGGATCGTTCAACCTTGAACGATCGGCCGCTGCCGCAACGTCCGATCGTTCAACATCGATCGATTCTGGGTCGCCGGCGGCGTTCAACCTTGACCGCCCGCGCTGGGGTCGCCGCGAGTCGACACGACGCAAACCTACCGTAGGCGGGTAATGGCAGCGCTTGGGCGGGGTGGGGCACGTCGGCGCGCAGGCACCAGCAAGTGGGGGGGGGGGGGGGGAGAGAGTCCAGCCCCCCCCCCCCCCCTACGTGCGATCGCTGCCGTTGCCGAGGGGAAGGGAGGAAGGGAGGGGCTCGGCCCACGGGGGGGCTCGGCCCGGGTATAGCGAACGAGGCGCGCCCGCCTGCTCCTCCTACGCATAGCAGCATGGGGGAGACGGGTCCCGAGGGAAGCGGGTCCCGGACCCTGGGGTCTTCCCTCGGAACTCGCTTCTCACCCCGAGTCGTTTTCTGACAGTCCCGGGGCCCATGGAGGGCCCCGGGAGTCCGAAACCAGCGAAGAATCTAAGGACCCGTTTCCCTCAGGACACGGTTCCCCCACTTGCCATCTCTCGGACGTCCCTTCCACGTGCATGTTTCGACTCCGTGCGCGTTTGCGTGCTCGATGATCAATGATGCTCCTCGCTGGTCCTCGCCGAGAACAAACGAAATGCACACGCCCGAGGGATGCCGGGCCCATGGCGATCCTCCTCCGCCTCCTTCCTCCTCCCGCCGGAGGCGCTCCCCTTCGAGGCAAGGAGGGGCGGCCCGACCCTCCCGAGGAGAGGCCCGTCGCGCGGCCGCGGCGCAGCGCCTCATGAACCGGGCCAGGCCGCTGGAGGCGAAGGTGAAAGCGACGACCGAGCGCTGCCCAGACTTGCTGGCGGCCTGCCGGCGACGGCAGGCTGGAGAGGAGGGCAAACGACGACGCCTTCAGTGCCCAGATACCTGGCGTACGGGATCAAACACCAAGGCGGCCAGTGATAGTTCTGAGCACATTTTGGCAACTTCGGCCTCTCGAAGCCAGGCTCGGGCCCCGGGGCCTTCAATAAACAGCCTGGAGCGACAAGTCAGCCCTGGAGAATGGGTCGAAAAGTCGCCCATGTCTCGAACAAATCGAGCGCGGACAGCAAACGACTCGGCAAACGAAGATTGAGGAAGCAAAAGCAATATCTATATATATATATATATAATGACGTTCCATGTGTGGGGAACCCATCGGCGCGTTACCGTGGAAGAATTTCGGGGGTGCGGTGACAAACCGTGCGGTGATCTCGAACTGCCTCTCCGAACGGTCCAGTCACCTCACAATGTTGGGGCCCTGGAGGCCCCAGTCGCGGGACCCTAGAGGCCCCTGTCGTCCGAGACATCCTCGGAGAACGACCCAAGTCCCGAAACCCTGCGGTGACCCCGAATCCCCACCGACTCACCACACGGTGTGGTCACCACCCCGTTTGGGGGCCCCCGATCATACCTGCGGACCCGATTCTCTTAACCAACGGCCCCAGAAACCCCGACCGCTTCCCCGCGGGCGATTATCCTGCCCGGATCCGTGCCTGTTGCCCCGCATCCCGATAACGGGCCCGGGGGCCATCAAGCACTGATTGGGACTATGTGGGCGGAGGGCACGACCACACGCAGCTGCGAGTACCGTGAGACAACTGAAGTGAAACAGTGGGACAGGCATCGCGTGCGGGCGCTGGCACGTGGGCCTTCGGTGGGGTCGGGGTCACAACGCGTGAAGGGTGTGCAAACAGGACGAAGCGGCCGCCACGTGGACATTCCCACTGGGGCCTTCGTTGGAGCTCCACGTGGGGCCACGACGCGTGCTAAGGGTTCGCTGGAAGGAGGAGGCGACCGCCATGTGGACCCTGCCATTGGGGCCTTCGGTGGGGTTCCTTATGGGGCCACGAAGCCCCCGAAAAGGCGTGTCGAAACGATGGGGCGGCCGCCACGCGGACCCTGCCAGTTGGCGCTAGGTGCAGTTCCCTGTGGGGCCCCGAACCGTATGAAGGGGTGAACAGCAGCGGTGGATGGGGTGGCCGCCTTGCGGACTGGGCCGTTGACCTTCTTCGGAACTCCTGATAACGCCTGCTCGTGATTACTAGAAACAAAACGGGCGCCTGATAAACACAATCGTTTCCCTGGTCGGGCGAGTCGCGGGGGCGCGCTCGCCAAATGGGGACAAACTACGGCGGCGCCGGTGATTAGCGCTGACACCGAACCGACAGCTGGAAGGTAACATGCGCGACGCAAGCGGCGCCGCATCAGCGGAAGGGGACAACAACGCCTCCGCCGTCACAGCGGGGTGGTTGAGCCATAACGGCGACACACAGGAGAGAACGAGGATGCTGGAGGAGCGGGCGCTTCAGTTGGCGGTCGGTGCCGGCATAATTATAAGAAAAGACAGAGGAGAAGAGCGGGAGAGGCCGGCGGCAAGGGCTCCTCCATTTCCTTTTCCCCCTTTCTCCCCCCATCCATTACAATATGTCCTACGACGACGACGACGGCGACAGCAGGCGACGACGCACTGCGGATGCTTCATGGGGGGGGCGGGGGTACTGCGCATGCCCGCTGTAGTCGTCGACGGCGACGACGACGAAGACGCACTGCGGATGCCCCATGGTTGGGGGGACTGCGTAGGCCCACTGTCGTTGGCGACGACGACGACGACGCTACGACGACGACTACGACTACGACGACGATGACGACGACGACGACGACGGCGACAGCGACGGCGACGACGCACTGCGGATGCCCCAAACGGGGGGCGGTGCGCTGCGAGTCCCGCAGCAGCCGGCGACGACGACGATGACGAGAACGACGACGACGAAGGACGAGACGACGACGGCGACGACGACAACCGACCACAACAACGATGATGACGACTACGACGACGACGACGACGACGACGACGACTGCGACATGTCAGTTGTCAGTCTGAGAGGGGGGAAGGATTGCCCTTGGATGTGTACGATCCCTATAACAACTTCTAGACGGAAAACAACCGTTTCAGGCTGTCGTGCAGGGGTGTACACGATCCCATCGGTGGCGCCCGCGACGACCCCCTGGCGCGCTTGATTTCAAACTTGTTTCGCGCCACGCGGGATCTATGCATTGGTCCCCAGGGGGTCATCAGTTAATCCTCACATCCAAATGTTTTTTCTCTGCCCCCCCCCCCGCGCAGGATCTCCTCCTCCTCCTTATCCTCCCCACTCTTCCTCACGCACACACTCACACATCCGCGTCATCACTTCACGTTGGTAGTCCGAGCGGGTCATCCGCAAACTCTACCAGGCATCGGGCAAATCGTGATGATGTCTCAAGCGGGAGCCTTGTCTGAGTGAATTGCAAGGAAGTCTCAAGCGGTAGCCCCCTCCCTATGGGGTCCACGTTTCATTTTGGCAATCCGAGCGAATCATCGGCAAACTCTACTCGGCATGAACAAATCGTGTGGATGTCTCAAGCTGGGGCCTCGTCTGTAAGTAAATTGCAGGGACGTCTCAAGCGGGGTCCCCCTCCCTACGGGGCCCGCGCTTCACGTTGGTAATCCGAGCGGGTCATCGGCAGATTCTACCAGGCATAAAACTGGAGCGTCCCAACGGGGCAAATCGTGAGGGTGTCTCAAGCGGGGGCCTCGTTCGTGAACGAACTGCAAGGAAATCTGAAGCGGGAGTCCCTTCCCTATGGGGCCCGCCCTTCATGTTGGTCATTTGAGCGGGTCATCGGCAAACTCAACCAGGCATAACACTTGAGCACCCCTAGGGGGCAAAGCGTGAGGATGTCTCGAGCGGGGGCCTCGCCTGTGAGTGCTGGTAATAAGGCTCCTCCGGCCTGAATAGAAAATTCCGAAGGTCGCAGGAACCACCAGGAGACTTCAGGAAGTCACAGGAAGCTTCAGGAGGCCCCGGCAGGCATCAGGAGGCCCCAGAGGCCGCAGGAGGACCCAGAGCCACAAGGAAGCCCTAGGAGGCCCCAGGAGACTCGCTCCTCGTCGTCGCCCTCCTCCTCCTGCCAAGATGGCCCACGAGTTCTCTACGACAATCATCAAACAAGTCGCCATTCTGTCGCTCGTAGGCTCGGTTTTCGACACGTCCTTCTGGGCGCCTCTCCGCTGTCACGGAAGACTCTGGAGTTAACCAGGAAGGCATTCGAGACACCTCTACGGGGCGCCTGTCAACTCATCGAATGCGATTATACAAAGGACTGTGCAAGGAGAAGCCTCCCTCGTCAAGATCACTCCTGAAGAGTCGTTGCCAGCCGATTGAGGCCCGCAAGAATGCCTCCGACGGTCAAAAGACTCCCTAGATGCCCCCAGATGCCCCAAAGAGGCCCCAAGGGTTCCCCAAGACGCCCCTGAGCGGCAACCAGGACGAAGGCCCCAAGGAGGCCCAAGAGAGCCTCAAGCGGCCTCCTGCTCCTCCTCCTCCTCCTCCTCCTCTTCCTCATCATCCCTTTCCTCCTCCACCTCTTCCTCCTCCACCTCCTCCTTCTCATCCCTCTCCTCCTCGTCGCTCTCCTCCTCCCTCCTCCTCCTCCATCTCTCTCTCTCTCTCTCTCTCTCTCTCCTCTCTGTTCTCTAACTCTCTCTCTCTCTTTGTATCTCTCTCTCTCTCTCTCTCTATATATATATATATATACCATGTTCCCCCATGGAGTTCCACAATGGCTGCAAGAACACATGATCCAAGAGCGAGGTCAGACTGTGGCGCAGCGTTTGGCCACATAGGTGTTTCCAGAAAAGGCAAAGGGCGGCGGTGGATCGCGGTAAGTGCCTTCGATACCACCCATCTTCCGTGACCTCTGATCGTTCCGTTTAGCCAAAGCAACCCCTGCCATCGGGGTGCTGGCATGCAACACGAGAAGTGCTTCGCGCTAGATGAATGGATTTCTCACGGAAGCAAAATGGGGACTCAAGTTCCGAACTAACACATAATCTTCACTCCGCCGTGTTCCAAATTTGCCGCGTGATACAACACGTTCGCGTGCGCCAGGGTCACACCAGCGCGCATCACTGTCATGATTCAACTGGCGAATAAATGAGCTTACACGCCATCATATAATCGATCCTACCTCGTTTATGGGTGAACTCCATCGTCAATATGACAGCTGGTTAGAGCACGAGCGCTACGTAAAGCGCGTCCACTTGAACGTGGGCTCGCATCTGCGGCAACACCTTGGTCTGCCGTTGGATCCGAGCCTCGAGAACTCGTTCGCAGTCGACCTCGCCCAAATGTGGGACTACTTGAGCAAACACTCGGGTGTTGCTAGAAGTGCCCCTGGCCCAAGGTGCCTCCTGGATCCCCAGGGGTTCCAAAATTGAGCGAAAAGCTGGGGGCACCTTGGGCCAGGGGCAACTTTAGCAACCCCCGAAACGCGAAAACAGGGGAGTCTTGACATCAGGGCTAAGCGAGGACGATGACTGACCACGCCTACGTGTTCACACTCTCCTCGCCCGGTGAATGGGCGCTGCGGCCCACTCGGGGACGCCACTGCTGCCTTTCGGAGAATGGAGGGGCTGATAGACAAGGTACGCCCTCGTTATGTATCATCCCCAGGGTTCTTTGGCATGAACAGATCCTTCAGCTCCGAAGGACTCCCTAATGGCGGTCCTCCCGCTCGTAGACCTCGGAGCATGGTCAGTGATCCTGCATCTTCTACTCCTCTTCCTCCTCCTCATCCTCCTCGTCCAGCGCCTCTTCCTCCTCCTCCTCCTCCTCCTCCTCCTCTTCCTCCTATCTTCTTTGCCCAGTGCTCTCCCCAAGGGTTCCCACAACGGCGGGAGAAGACACAGCCTCACATCTCGGCCATGCTTTGGCCCAGCGATTGGCGACGGTGCCGTTTCGAAAAAGCAGGGGGTTGCGGTGGTTCGCCGTAAGCGTCTTCGACAATAGACTGTACCGCGCTGACATATTGCCGCCTTCCCCTCAGAAATTGCAACGAACGGGCTTAGGCGTTGCAATGTGCTGGCGAACTGCTTTGTGACAGGCGCGATCGAAATGCGCAATAAAAGCGAGCGGCAGCTTTGCATTGGGGCCCTCCAAATTCATCAACCTATTGGATTTGGCGACGGCAGTGGAGAAGGTCTTCACTGTCTCACCCAAACCCATTCCAAATCAATCCCTGGAGCCCTCCTGGAGACCATCGTGGCTAATTCTTCGAGCAGCGTCCATCCGTGACGACGAGGCCTCCCACGAAGCCTAGACAACAAGAAGCAAGGAGGCGACTTGGGTGAGCCTCCTCCTGCGGCGAGCTGGCCTCGACCACCTGCTTCACCTCTTCAACGGTCCGCGTCTCAGGGCAGACGGTGACCTGGGCGCTCGCACGGGAGCGACCAAGAAGAAACGGTTCTTCTGCGAGCGGCGTAGTGGCCTTACCTTACGCCGCTGCTTTCACGGGCCGCCAGCGTGGCACACTGGCTCAGAGAAGAGAGTGCGTAGGGAAACAGGAGGAGGAGGAGGAGGACGAGGACACGCGCTGCGCATGGGGAAACCTCTCCTGGGGTGCGTTTTGACTATAATTTCTTAGCGAATCCAGCCGTGGTGACGAAGGAAAGGTAGCGGTATCAGACAGGCTCCTCCTCCGAGATCACGCGCGACCTTACGAGGGAAGCTTACGCGCGCATTCCCGCGCAGGCGACCTTGTTTTAGTCCGTCGGCCACGTGTCGCCAGTGTGTCGGTCCCCTCTGGATGCTCTGGCAGGGGACGGATGCCGATGGGCCGTGGACAGGCGGCAAACCACAAGGCCCGATCGCAGCCCGGCGGGCCCTCCAGAGGCAGAGCAGCAGCCAGCGCCTGCACCCATGCATGCGTTGTCCCAACACGACGGGAAGCTCTTCGCCGTTTTCAGCCCCGGGGGGCCCTCGCCAGGCCTCGGGAGCGTCAAACAGCGACTCAGGATGTAAAGCCAGGCCCCTGCAGAGGAAGGGTTGGGGCTTCCAAGGGCCGCGTATTGGACAAAAAACTGACAGTACCGCGAGCGACGAACATATCCGTATCCGCGCTTTCCCAATGTAGATTCCGGGGCACGCTCCCGCGGATACGGTACGTTCCGCGCGGGGCATCCGCGACAAAAACGCCCTATCCGCAAGGGCGCGGCCCAGGGGCCCGCGAGGCCGAGAATAATATGGATGAGTGCTTCCCCTGCGACATCAATTTGCTTTCCCCAAACCGCTTGCCTGTACAAGTCTTCTACATGCGTATATATATATATATATATATATATATGTATGTGGGAGGTTGGGGGGTGAGTCCGACGTGAAACGGAGACCCCCCCTACAGGGAAATCGGTTTCGGGTTCGTGTCGTACCTGGCGCGCGTGCGGGCTAGGCGAAGGTGCATGGGCGGGCGAGAGGAAATCCTCCTGTGGCTGGGCCGCGGCCGGACCAAGTGTTTCTCCTCTGGCGGCCGGTGGCCTGCGGTGTCCCGCTGGTGTCTCGCTGGTGTCCCGCTGGTGTCCCGCTGGTGTCCCAAAATCCTCCTGTGGCTGGGCCGCGGCCGGACCAAAAGTCTCTCCACTGGGCAAACGGCGCCCCGCGGTGTCCTGCTAGTGTCCCGCTGGTGTCCCGCCGTGGCTGCGGCGAGCTATCCAATGCAAGTCCACACGCAAACCGACATGCAAACCGAAAAGCACATCGAAATGCAGATCGGCATGCACATTAAAATGCGAATCGTAAGGCGCCGTGGGTTGCGCTTAAAAAATCGGCGCCTGCGGCGAGCTTTCCAATGCAAGTCGACATGCAAATCCGCCGAACCTGTCGGCGTGTGTAAAGGGGCTTCTCCGTTCGACTCGTCGTCTCCGTCGTCTCCGGTCTCCCCCTCCCAGGGCTCTCCTCTTCAAGCGCGCTATCCAAAACGAAATTAAACGACGTCGTAATGGAGTCGAAAGGAAGCCCCTTCCCTTTGATCCCTTCCCCACAGGGGGGCGGGGGGAGGGGGGGGGGAGGGGGGGGGGGCCCGGGGCAGATACGACGCCCGCCGGGGCGCACTTTCCTCGAGCGGGCACGCACGGATGCACTTCCTCCTCCTCTCCTCCTCCTCCTCCTCCTTTTCCTCTTTTCCTCCTCCTTCTCCTCTCCTCCCTCCTCCTCCTTCCTCCTCCTCCTCCTCCTCCTCCCCCGCAGAGGCGTCCCGGGAGCGGGCCCCGAGTCAAAATACCACCCCCTAGGGCGCATTTTCCTCGAGCGGGCACGCCCGAGATGCACTTCTTCCTTTCCGGGAGCACGTCCCAAGTCAGAATATCACACTCCCGGGGCGCACTTTCTTCGAGCGGGCACACAAAGGATGCACTTCCTCCTCCTCCTCCTTCTCCTCCTCCTCTCCCTCCTCCTCCTCCTCCTCCTCCTCCTCCTCCTGCTCCTCCTCCTTCTCCTCCTCCTCCTCCTCCTCCGCTTCCTCCCCCCACTCCTAGCCCTTTCGATCAGGGTCGGCGACACCGGCCGTCAGGCCTCTCCAATCGATGTGCAGATCGAAAAGCAAATCGACATGCACATCGATATGTCGACATGCAAATCGAGATGCAGATCGAAAAGCGCATCGACATGCACATCGATATGCTCACGATCACAATCACACTACTCACTAGACTGCGCACCACAGGCATCGTCAGAACAACAGTCACCAGTGTTGCTCATTGCTGGCCCCCCCAAACCCCCTTATCACCCGCAGGGTGGTCATATATATATATATATGTATATATATATATACATACATTGTGCTCGACCACCCTTCAAATGATAAGGAGGTTCGGGAGGGGAGAGGAACCAACGTCTCACTCAATCGGCCTCACTTTCGATCTCACAATCGCTCTCACTCGACCGATCTATCGATCTCACCCCCCAATCTGCGATAAAGATATCTATATACCAGAACAACGCGCGCGCTTCGCGTGCGCTTATTTTCTATGGCAGTCCAAGCCAACCTCACATGATTGGATGATATAATCCCACAAAGATCACTATACGGAAGCGTACTTCCTGACGGACACTTCAGGGGTCACTGAATAAGCAGGCCCTAAGGGATCCTGCTGCCCTGAGCAAATACACCGAGCAGCTGCCCGACGGTAGCTTTTTGTGAGGCTTAAGGAGGCTCGTGGCTTGTGGACCGTCTTCAGCGGTCTTGAGGGTCTCCTGGGCCTCGAGGGCCCCTCGAACTATATCGGAGGCGCCTGGGAGGTCACTTGGTAACCCTGGGGGTCAATGATATTGAGTCCAACTTAAACCATCTAGAAGCTGCCAATCAATCGAAGACGTGTCGGGGGCGCGTTTGGAGCTCCCTCAAGCCGTGCTGTGCCCTGCTGGGAAGCGTTACGATGATGCACGATATACGGTACCAGACATATGACGCGGCTCACTGTTCTAATGGAAACGACGTCCAGCACGACTTCGCGCCAAAGGTATGCCTGCAGGGCGATTCCCCCAGCTGTGTCAGGGAAACCGCCCAGGAAGGCTCCAGGAAGGCGCGCAAGGCAGCCATGTGGAGGACCCAGGAAAGCTCGACGGGGGGTTGCCCGAAAGCCCCTAACAGCCTGGTACACACATGTTGAAAGTCTTTGGGGGGACGCTCTTGGAGGGCTCTTTGGGGTTTCTGAGGGGTGGGTTGCCTTGAGTTTTGTTGGGGGGGGTCCTGGTGGCCTCTTGGGACTTCTTGGGCGCGCCTCGAGGGCCTCCCTGGGCTCTTGGCGCCTGGGCTCCAAATGTCGAATGGGATCGACCTTGAAAAAAAGATTCGACTGATTTTCCCTTGTTGTCAAACTGGGCCTCATACCACATAGTGGAGCAAGCTACTGGGAAAGAGAGACGGATGGAGGAACAAGTGAAAGAAAGATGAGGATGAGAAATAGAGGAGACGGAATCGAATGAGAACGCAGAGAGAGAGAGAGAGGAAAACGTGAAAGAGAGGCGAGGAGCAGGGATAACGGGAAATGACGCAGAGGGGAGGAAGGAAGAGGAGAGGAAGGATAATTACGTGGAACGGGAGACGCAGAAGAACCGAGAGCGGGAGAGAGAGAGAGAGAGAATCAAGATAATGGAGATCGAAGAATGGGGGAAATGGAAACGCGCTCTAGGGAACGGGGGGTCGAACTGGAAATTAGCCTGACGAAAGACCCAACCATACGCAGCTGCATGTACCGCGAGGGAGATGAGACGAAGGTGGGGGAGCGCAAAATCCGAGTAGTGCACGCGGTACAGCCTTCTGCCACGACACGTGTGAAAGGTGTGCCGACATTAATCGGGAGGACGCCTGCTAACGTCGCCATTGGGGCCTTCCGTGGAGCTCCCTATGGGGCCACAAAGCGTGTGAGGGGTGTGCCGAAACTGGGCGGCGGTGCCACGCGAACTTTCCCACTGTGGTCTTTCGTGGAGCTCCCTATGGGGCCATGAAGCGTTTGAGGGTGTGTCGAAACTGGGCGGCGGTGCCATGCAAACTTTCCCACAGTGGTCTTTGGTGGAGCTCCCTATGGGGCCACGAAGCGTTTGAGGGCGTGCCGACATGGGGCGGCGGTGCCACGGGGCCACGACACGTGCGAGGGGCGTGCCGAAATGGGGCGGCGGTGCCACGCGAGCTTTCCCACAGGGGGCCCTCGCCGGAGTGGGGCCACGAAACTTGTGAGGGGTGTGCCAGGATGGGGCGGCGGCGCGATGCGAGCTTTCCCACCAGGGCCCTCGGTGGAGCTCCCTATCGGGCCACGAAGTGCGTGAGGGGTGTGCCGAAATGGAACGGCAGTGCCATGCGAACGTTCCCACTGGGGCTTTAGGTGGGGGCTCCCTATGGGGCCACGAAACGTGTGAGGGGTGACCGAAATGGGGCGGCAGTGCCATGCGAACTTGCCCACAAGGGCCTTCGGCGGAGCTCCATGGCGCCACGAAACGTGTGAGGGGTGTGCCAGAATGGGGCGGCGGTGCCATGCGAACTTGCCCACAGGGGCCTCTGGTGGAGTTTCCTATGGGGTCACGAAACGTGACGGTCCAGCAGAGACATCCTCCCAAAAATTTGGTGGTTTGGGCCGTTTAGCCTCAGACATCCTGACAGCTCTCGTTTCTGCGTTGGCCGGGATTGGGCGCTTCGCCTGGGACATCCTCCTAATTCTGAGCTCCGAGTCGCCGAGTGCGAAGTGGTCTGGCGCGTTTCGCCTAAGACATCCTCACATCTCTGCGCTCCGAGAAGCCGCGCGCGAAGTGGTCTGGCGCGTTTCGCCGGAGACATCCCCGCAACTCTGCGCTCCGCGCCGCCGCCACAGGAGCTCGCCTCCTCCTCCTCCTCCTCCTCTCCTCCTCCTCCTCCTCCTCCTCTCCTTCCTCCTCCTCCTCTCCCTCCTCCCTGCCACGCGGAGCTCTGCGGACGGAAAAGGTTACAGCTGCGGAGCACCCTGATCGCTGCATGAATGAAGAGGCGGGTCGAGGAAAAAAGGCGGTCGGCTGGTGAACACGTGCCAGCACACATGTGGGGACATGGCCATGTGCAACTCAACCATCGCTTTCCCTGTTCTACAGATCGTGGCCGTCTGGGCCACCAAGCTAGTCGGCACTGAGGCGAGAGCACAACGTCTCCAATTCATTGCGAGGACACCTGCGGCGAAACGGCTGCCGGACTGGGCGGTCTGGGGCGCCCCGTCCCCGGTGGGGCTGCTCCGTGGATCTCTTCTCACTTTCCTGAGAACCCTCTAATTAGCGATATGCTGTTAGGCACCTGCAACTGCACCCCTCTCTCGCCATCGCTCGGACGTCCATTCCCTGTGTTTTTTTCGGTTTCGTGCGTGTTTTTTTCGCCAAATGCTCAAGGATGCTCCTCGATGGTCCTCGCCGAAGGAAAAAAGCACACGTCCGAGCGATGCCAAGCTCTTCCCGCGCGGGCGCGGAGCCTCGTCTGGGGTGCCCCCTGGCAGCCGCTGCAAGGCCGAGACCACCATGGCGGTGGGCGTCCGGCCTGGCGGCTGGGCGGTGGGGGGGGAGCCGTGCGCACCCGCCGCGGCTGCCGCCGCCGCTGCCGCCGACGCCGTCTCCGCGGTCGCCGTGCTCGAAGCCCGTCCTCCTCCTGCCCCTCCTCTCTTCCCCCTCCTCGACCTCCACGAGAACGACTGTCCATGCACCGGTCTGCTACCGTAGGTGAAGCCTGCGTACCTCCTCGATGCGGTCCACTCAACACTGGGGCATCCTGCCGACACCCCCCTTCCGTAGGGGTTCACGAGGGCGCCCGCGCTGAAGCATGCCCAAGATCACCACGAATCGCTCCAGCATGCTCTGGAACTTAGTGGGCCCCGGAAACAGCAGGGCCGTTTTTTCACCGTTTTCGAAAAAGTGCCCCTTGAAAACGGGAACGGCAAAAAAACTGCGACCAGAAACGGCAAAAAAACGGCTCCAGAAAGGGAACTGGGGCCGGAACCGGTCAAAAAACGGCGACGGAACCGATACACAAACGGCGTCGGAACCAGCAAAAAAACTGCAAAACGGAACCGGTAACAAAAACGGCCCTGTCGTTTCCAAGGCCCACTGAGCTCTGGAACACCCCTCAACTTTCCCGAACCGGGCGTTTTCGCCCAGTTCGGGCCCCGGGACCTCACATATCGATACGGCTCGCACGATGTGGTCCGGGACGCCAGCCGTCGCCTTGTTCACGATGCTGTATGTTTGCTCGCTGCGTCGGATCAGGGGCCTCGCCTCGCGGCGGGGCAGAGACGACAGACCAGGTGTAGGCAGCAGATTCTGTACTGTGCCCTCCCCTCTTTCCACGTCTCCTCTATTTCTCGGGGCGGCGGATGGGGGCCTCTGAGCTGGATGAGCGTGGAGGAGATCGCCCAAGAAGTCAACCTCGCTCGACGTCGACCCCCAGACCCCATCCAGCAGAGGGAAATGTCAAGGCCTCCGAGCCACGCCCAACCCTGGCGACGAGTGTGGCCCACTTCGCCCCGTTCCTTCTGGCTGGAACCATCGCTGGGCCAATTATGAAGGGGCCCTGGGACACTCAAATAAATACACACAAATAAAAAGATTCCCCATATTTTCCCATATTTTCTAGGTTTTGTCTTCCCCCCCACTTCCCATATTTCCCCATATTTTCGGGGGAATCGACGACTCATTGTGTCTGTGTATTTTTTTCCTTCCTGAAATTTAGCCCCCCAGCCGGCTCCGACCTCCTCTCGTCCACCCCCCTCCCTCCCCAAGGCCCTCTTTTGACAAACGAACGACGCACACCCATCCCCACAGGGACATCGGAGAGAGGAGGATTGGCTACGGGCATGGGTGCGGGTTGTCGGACCCCTGGGGGAACTCCCGCTCGAACGGTGACCCTCATCCGACAACACGCTTTTTGACAGGCAAAAGCGGGCGGCAAGCGCGGTCGCCGACGCCCAGCGCGGAGCCCCCTAGTCGGGCACCTTGCGCAGCGAACCCCGCGAAGTCCGCCACGCGGCCGCCGGCGCAGAGCGGGGCCCCAAGCGGTATGGGTATGGGTGTGTGTATATGTGTGCGTGTGTTGTGAGTGTCGTGTGTGGTGTGGATGTTGCGTTTTGTGTGTTATATGTTGTGTGTAGAGTGTGTGTATGTGTGTGTGCGTGTGGTCGTGTGTGTGCGGTGTGTGTGTGTGTGTGCTGTGTGCTGTGTGCTGTGTGTTGTGTGTGTGTGTGTCCTGCGTGTTGTGTGTGTGGTGTGTGTCGTGTGTTGTGTGTTGTGTGTTGTGCGTTGTGCATTGTGTGCTGTGTGTGATGTGTGGTGTGGTGTGGTGTGTGTGTGTGTGTTGTAGGTGTGTGTGTGTGAGGTGTGCCAAAGGAGGCCCAAAAAAAAGGCGAAAGCGAGGCACAGGTAGCGGTATCCATACGGCTTTCCTCCTCTGAGTCCAGCCGTGGCGACGAGGGCCTCCCAGGAGGCCCAGAGAAGGCGAAAACGAGGTCAGGGTAGCAGTATTGGTAAGGTTCCCTCCTCTGAGAGTCCTGCCGTGGCGACGAGGGCGTCCCAGGAGGCCCAGAGAAGGTAATAACGAGGCAAGAGCGCCCGGCTCGAAAGGGCCCCGCGAGAGCTCGGGGCCTTGGAGCGGGGGATTGACTGCAGAATTCATTTGCCCGGAACTCGTTTTTCCCGTCGAAGGCACGAACAGAAATTGTGGAACGAACTACGAGCTATCTGAGTAATTATCCATCACCGTGCATCCGGCGAGAAGGTCAATTCTGGGGTGCACCCAGTAATTAGTCCATCCCCCCTGCTCGAGGCCTGAGCTCCCCTCGACGGGGCCGCCTGCGGCCCCGGGGCGCCCCTCCGCGCCTGAGCTGTCGGACGCCACGAACACCTCGATGCCCGCGGCCTGCCGGCGCGCATCGCGCGGAGCGGCGGCGCGGCCAGCCGGGCCCTCGGCTCGGGCGGGACCGATCGACCACCTCAACGGCGGCCGCGGCTGCGACCCGCAGACGGTCGGACCGGCGTCATAATCACGGCAGTTTCGTGCCGTGTGGACCCCGGCCTTGGTCCTGACACCGCGGGGATCGCTCAACCCGGAACGATCGGCCGTTTCCGGAGCGTCAGGTCGTCCGACATCGACCGATTCTGGGTCGCCGGCGGCGTTCAAAGTGGAACCGGCGGAGGAAATATCGCCGCCGGTCGACACGACACGAACCTACCGTACAGTCAGACCGCTGCCATCAAGAACCCCAAAAAGGGAACGAGGCCCCTTTTCACTATAAGTGAAACTTCGATGTCCCAGAGAACACCAGCGGAAAACCCAGGACACACTATACAACTATAGAGGATCACTGAGCCTCTCCACAGCGAAAAGGGTTCCTTCTTCAGCGGCCCGACTGTAGGGCAGCCTGCAGGCGTCGCGGGTTGGGACCTAAGCGCCCAAAGAACACATCACTCATAGTGACGCACAGAGCATCTCTTCGAGATCGCTCCACGCATCCCTGGCGCCACAATTCATTATCGCATAAACGAAATCTCGCGCCTCACAGGCATCAGACAAATACCCTCTGCTCCTTGGGACTTGATGCTTCCTGGTGCTGTGACATGAACTGTCGATCCAACCAATCAAGCCGATCGATCGGCCCGGGCGACCAATGCGATCGTATGAGCCCAGGCCTCCGACGACATGACCTGAGCATGACGTGAGCCTGGGGGGCTCTCGACCAGATTCTGAATCCCAGAAAGCCCGCTACTGGGAAGCATCGGGGGGGGAGGCATCGACCAGGAATCGGCGGTACCCTGCCGATAGATCGGCGATGGGCCCCCTCGACTGGGGAAGCCGAAAGGCATCGATACCGCTACTCCCCGGGCCTCTCCTGGGGTGCGCTCTGACCAGGATTTCGAGGCGAATCCAGCGGTGGCGACGAGGGCCGCCCAGGAGGCCTCAAAAGGGGAGGATTGAAGGGGAACTGGGACACACAAATAAATACACACAAATAAAAATACCCCCCATATTTTCTCATATTTTCTAGGCTTTTGTCTTCCCCCCCACTTCCCATATTTTCCCATATTTTCTTGGAATCGCCGATTAAGTGTGTCTGTGTGTTTTTTCCCCTCCTGAAGGAGGGGGGGCAGGGCAGCAGCAGGGGGCACCCGCTCCTCCTCTGACCGATAGGCGGAGACGCACGCTCTCCTGGGCGGGGGGGGCCGTCGGGCGCCCCCGTCGGCGAGACGTCGGGGATTTGCGGTGCCGATGCGCCCCCCCCCCCCCCCGAGCCTACATCTCCCCCTGGCGTGGCCCCCGACCCCCGTTAGAGGGAAGAGAACTATGCACATGCACCGATTCTAGCCAGGCCCATCCTGAGCCCAGGATCGGTGCATACGCCCTCCTACCTTGGCCAGGACGGCATATGCACCGATCCTGGGTCAAGGATGGGCCTTGCCAGGATCAATGCATGTGCATAATTCTCTTCGCCCGACCCGTGCTCCCCAGGTACAGTCGACCCGTGTCAGAAGGATGCGCGGTAAGGGTGCACGGGCCTCGGCATGTCAACGTTTTTCGAACGAGATCGGCTAGCGAAAGTCGCCAAGGATGGGCCGAAGGGGCAAGGGTGCAAGAGTACCCATGGGAAGGTTGCCCATCCTCGCTATGAGGGTTGACTGTGAACTGCGCTTCGCGCTGGCGCAGTCTGGAACCTGACTCCAAGGTGGCGCCGACGCGAGTCGTGACGCTGCCAGACACCTCTCCCCCCTGGTAGCGCACGTACGTTACCGCAAGATGAGAAGACGACCACGCTTCGTGCAGCGGGGCCGACGCAAGAGTGTCCGTCTGAGCCCCTTCCCAAACATCGGGCGGCTCGACAGGTTCGAGACATGGGCCCCGCGCCGTCTCGACCCCTTCCCAAAGGCTGATTTTGACTCCTGCGTCGGTGTCTTTGTGGCACCTGGCTCGGAAACCGGCCCCGTCGAGTTGCGGCGTCGTTTCTCGACCTCCAGAGGTATCCGCGGGGACCTCTGGAGATCTCGTTCCTCGCCCTTCTCCTGCCCTGGGCGAGGGCGAAGGCGAGGAAGGACGAGCACGGGAACAAGCCGGATGCGGAGGAGGAGGAGGAGGAGGAGGAGGAGGAGGACGACGACGTGGACCCGCAGTGCAAGGGGAGCACGATGACGATACATCTGTGCAAAATAAACAACTACATTCAGGCTCGATGCACAAGTAAGCGTGACGGGTAGAGAAAGGTCAGAACTGGCTGGGGACAGGCGTCACCGATCTCGAAACTCAGCTCGTGCACCATTGTACCGTAGTCCTCTTGCTAATCAACCTGTGGCTAGGCGAGGCATACTCGCTGTGCGCAGCGTGCACCATCGCGCTTACGCGGCACCAAGCGACAAGAACGAAGTAGACGAAGCCAGGTCTGGACAGGAAAAACCACGATATGCCTGTAGACCTCCAAGTAGTGGAAACAAATTATCGATTTGACGCCCTTATCGACGCCACCATAGTGGGACACAATTATTTCTCCGCGGCACGCGCCGCACGACGACTACTACGACTGCGACTACGACCACGATGCTACTACGAGCGCGATTCCAATTACAACTAAAACTACGACTCCAATTCCGACTACACTCACTGATACAATCACGAGTACAATCACGAGTACACCCACGACTACAGTCACGACTACAACCACAACCAGCGATTACTATTGCAATCCTCTCGAGAGGATGCTAACAAATCCTCTCGTGTGTAGGGTCGCCCACAATGAAGTATTCCCCGGGAGACAAAGCCGAACATGGTCAAGCCCAACCAACACTAGATGAACAAAAAAATCCGCCGCGACGGCGACGACTACAAATACGATTGCAATCGCTACAACCACACATGCGGTTACAATTGCAATCGCGACTACAACCACATTTACACTCTCGATTACAATCACGATTGCAACCACGACTACAATCACAACCACTGATTCTTATTACAATCTCATCCAGAAGATGCTGACAAATCCTCTGGCGTGTAGGGTAGCCCACAATGGAGTCTTCATTGGAAACAAGAACCCCCCAACATGATCCAACTCGCCCAACAATAGAGGAACAATCATATCCACCGCGACGGCGAGGACGACTACAATCAGGATTTCGACTACAACCAGGCATGCAATTACAATTGCAATCGCCACTATAATCACAATTACAATCACGATCACAATCACGATTGCAACCACGACTACAATCACGACTAGAATCACAACTACTGATTCCTATCGCAATCCTCTCGAGAAGATGCTGAAATATCATCACAAATCCTTTCGGATACGAGCCCTCAACATTACCCAGCCCGCCCTACCATAGCGGGGAGGAAATATCCGTAACGACGACGACGATGACTACGATAACCCTGTGCACCTGATAATCACATGGTGAGGATAGTAGGATTCGGGTTTCGGGGAGGGTACTAGACTCATCGTCCCTTCAACTCGCATGTACGATGACATGTTAATCTGGTATAGTGATAGCCTGCTCGCTCTGCCGGGGCCTCCTTGGATGGGTCGGAGGAGCTCGAAATCTGAGAAACAATATTCTTTAGCGATGCCCTGCTCGCTCTGGCAGGGCCTTCCTAAAATGGTCCGAATCCCATGGGCCTGCCACACGTTCGTGACTGGGGAAAGCTGAAACGATGAGAACCCCATGGCCCTGCCACACGTTCGTGACTTGGGAAAGCTGAAATGGTGAGAATCCCATATCCCTGATAGACGTTCGTGACGTAGGACAGCTGGAATGGTGAGAATTCCGTATCCCTGCCACACGTTCGAGACAGTGTTGCCAACATAGAAAGAAAAACAACTTCGATTCGTACTTTGCCCGGCGATACTGAAACGGCCTCGCCGCCCCTTTCCCCCGACCAACTCTGTCTTGGAGAGTCTTGGCCTGGGATAATCTACTCTGAGGTCTTAAAGGGGGGTGCACACGGTACGCTGTATTATCCGGGGCATCGGGTTAACGACCACGAGGAAAAGCAGGAGGAGGAGGGCAGGAGGAGGAGGGGGGGAGAATGAGGAAGAGGAGGAGGAGGAGCAGCAGGAGGGGCGAATTGATTCCGCGCCGAGAGAAACAGGGGGGGGGTGGGAGTGCAAAACGAAAGAAGTCCCTCGGGTAAGTCGGTGATGTCTGAGCTTCGGCGGTTCTGGAGGATGTATCGGGCGCCGCCGCCTTCTCAGCGCGCTCCAGAAAGCTCTGAGAGCGTTCCGAAACGCTCTGGAACGATTCATCCTTGCCCCAGCCCCGCCTGAACGAGACCGATTAGGATAGTGGCGGCTCTCCCGCCTGGGGTCCATTCTGACCCGGCTTTCGGGGCGGATCCATCCAGCTACCACGAGGAGGACCTTCCAGGTAATTAGCCTACAACAGGCGAACAACGCCAGGGAGACCCGGCGTTACCTCGACTGGCCCTCCTTCGGGTCTCAAGACTCAAGACGTGGCGAGGCCCGCGCCTGGGGGCCAGGTCCCAACAGAGAGCTGGCCACTCGGCGAGAGGAGCAGGAGGAAGAGCAGGAGCAAGATGGGAATCATGACGATAGTGGTGCCCTCGGATGCGCCGAAGAGGTGGGCTAAGAAAACGGGAGTTCGTGCATCATGGCATGAGGCATGTGCGCGGACTAGCGGGGGGCAACGGATGTGCTGAAAGAGGAAGGAAAGGCAGCCGAAACATAATACTAAGCAGTAGCAGCAATAATAGGAACAAAACAGATGATATGCATATTAGTAGTAGGAAAACAATACGAATAATGACAATACACATCATACTAACAAACATAATGAGAAGAAGGGGGCCGTGAAATCCAGGCAGATCTCTGGGGCCCCAGCCATGGGGGCGCGCACAAGGGAGTAGGGGGAGGGGGAAGGCTTCTTAGAAGGAAACTGCTTCTCAGGAGGCTGCCATGCCTCTACAGAATGAGGCCAGCGCCCGGGTGGTCCTGAGAAGCCTTCCCCCCACCCCTCTGCCCCCCTCTGTGCGCGGCTGTAACATTTGAAAGAAAACACGGCAGAAACTTAGGCTGGGGCGCTCCGCGCGGGTTTTTTGGATCTGCGCTGGACCCCCCCCGTCCCCGGCGCGCGGAAAGCGCCAGGGGCGGCGCCAGAGGCGCCGCCCGGGGGGCCACAACGCGGATTCAGAAAATCCGCGCGGAGCGCCAACAGTTTAAGTTTATGGCGTTTTTTCTGCTTCTTCTGCTTCTTCTTCGACCCGTTTCTGCGAGCGGTTGCATGGCATCCCGCCCCCGTGATCACTTCCTTCGTGGCCGCCCCCAGGCGCTCGTGCCGTACACAGCAGGAGGCGAGCCGCCGCGGGGCCCCGCGCGGCCCGCGGCGCCTCCGCCTGCCGGATGCCCTCGCTCAGCGCCGCCATGAGCGGTTGGGCCACGTCCACGCAGGGCACGCCCCTCTGCCGGCACTCGCTCGCCATCTGGGCACTCAACTCCTGGCGGGGGGGTAGGGGGCCCGAAATGTAGGAGGGCGACTCCACATAAAAACGGAATGGCGGTTCAGAGAAACAGATTCTGCCGCCCAGTGAGATTTTGGAGAGGGCGGCCAAACAAAATCTCGACGTGACGACGACGCCGACGAGCAGGTCTGGAACCTGATGTATGAGCCATTGTCCAAAGCGCTGCTGCGCGACATTCCCCTGGATCTCTTACCCGTCATCCTACATTGGTGCATTGATGGTTCCTGGAAGCAACGGGGCCGTTTTTTGTTCCGGCTCCGTTTTTTCCTGTTCTCTTTCGGGATTTGTTGCAATTTCTTTGGCTCCCTCGCTGTTGTTGTTCCGGCTCCAATTTGGAATTTGGCCGCGAGTATTTTCTCATTCGGCGTTTCGACATTTGGCCTGGGAGGTGGGGAGGGGGTCTGGCTCCTGACCTCTGCTTAGTGCGCCTGTTTGCAGCAATGCGTCCTACGGGGGAGCCTCCACCTGTTCGAAATAGGCGCCAACAACAGCCGAGCTCTACTCCATGGGGGGGTGCGAGGGCCCGCGCCGATAGGCAAAATGATGAATAAGAGAACGATTGCGGGCTGGCGCCGCTCTGGTTTCTGTTTCGGTCATTCGTGTTTCAGTTTTCTCGCGCCCAAGACACACATGTTCGGAAACGGTAAAAAAACGGCCGCGCCGAGTTCCAGGGCCAATTGTATAAAACAGAAGAAAGAGCGAGCGCTTTCTGTGGTTGCTTGGAGGGGGGAAATTGGAACCGGACCCCCTCCCTGGATGGAGGGGTGGAGGGGGGGTTCGAACTCCCCCCCCCCCTCCTGTGACGGAGAGGGGGGGTTCGAACCCTTACCCCCCCTCCCTCCCCTGCTTCCCCTCTCCTCGGGCCCGCGCTTGAGTCGTGGGCGGCTGGCGGCAGCGGCGGGGACGACGACTTTCTTTTCTGGGCCGGCGCCGGCGCCTGCGGCGGCGGGCGGCGGCGGCGGGGAGCGTCGACGAGGACGACGGTGGTGGTGGTGGTGGTGGTGGTGGTGGTGGTGGTGGTGGGTTGTGGTGGTGGTTGTGGTGGTAGTGGTAGTGGTGGTGGTGGGTTGTGGTTTGTTGTGGTGGTGGTTGTGGTGATGGGTGGTGGTGGTGGTGGTGTGGTGGTGGTGGTGGTGGTGGTTGGTTGTGGTGGTGGCTGTGGTGGTGGTGGTTTGTGATTTGGTGGTGGTCGTGGTGGGTTGTGGTGGTGGTGGGTTTTTGTGGTGGTGATGCTGGTGGTGGTGGTGGTGACGATGGTGGCCGTGGTGGTGGTGTGGTGGTTTGTGGTGGTGGTGGTGGGTTGTGCTGCTGGTAGTGGTGGTGGCTGTGGTGGTGGTGGTTGTGTGGCAGATTGTGGTGGTGGTGGTGGTGGTAGTGGTGGTGTGTTTTTGTGGTGGTGGTGATGACTTGTGGTGGTGGTGTTTGTGGTGGTGTGGTGATGGTGTGGTGGTTTCTGGTGGTGGCTTGTGGTGGTGGTGGTGGTGGTGGTGGGTTGTGGTGGTGGCGGTGTTTTGTGGAGGTGGTGGTGGTGGTGGTGGTGGTGGTGGTGGTGGTGGTGGTGGTGGTGGTGGTGGGTTGTGCTGCTGGTAAGTGGTGGTGGCTGTGGTGGTGGTGGTTGTGTGGCAGATTGTGGTGGTGGTGGTAGTGGTGGTGTGTTTTTGTGGTGGTGGCGGTGGTGAGTTGTGGTGGTGGTGTTTGTGGTGGTGTGGTGATGGTGTGGTGGTGGTTTCTGGTGGTGGTTTGTGGTGGTGGTGGTGGGTTGTGGTGGTGGCGAAATTTTGTGGAGGTGGTGCTGGTGGTGGTGGTGGTGGTGGGTTGTGCTGCTGGTAGTGTGGTCGCGGTGGTGTGGTGGTACTGGTAGTGGTGGTGGTCGTGTGGTCGTGGTGCTGGGTGGTGGCGGCGGTCGTGGTGGTGTGGTGGTTTGTGGTGGCGGTGAGTTGTGCTGCTGGTTGTGGTAGTGGTTATGGCGGTGGTGATGGTGTGGTAGAATCTGGTGGTGGTGGTAGTAGTGGGTTTTTGTGGTGGTGGTGGTGTTGGTGAGTTGTGGTGGGGTGGTGGTGGTTGTGGTGGTGGTGGCTGTGGTGGTGGTGGTGGTTGTGTGGTGGGTTGGTGGTGGTGGTGGTTGTGGCGGGTTGGGGCGGTGGTGGTGGTGGTAGTGGTGGTGGTGGTGGCAGTGGTGGTAATCGTCGTTTCCTCCCCGCCGTCGCCGGCGCCACCGCCGGCGCTGCTGGCCGCCGCCAGCGCCGGCGCCGGCGCCGGGGGGGGGGGGAGGGGAGGGGGTTTCAACCACCCCCTCCCCCAGGGGCGCTCGGGGAGGGAGGGGTGGTTCAACCCCCCCTCCCCTCCCTTGGGCTGCCTCTGGTCATCGTCGCTGCGTCCCCGCCGTCGGCGCTTCTGGCGGCCGCCAGCGCCGGCGCCGACGGGGGAGGGTGGGGGGGGGTCGGGAGGGGGAGGGTTTGGGGGGGAGGGGAGTCCCCCTGGTTTTGATCGACGGTGCCGACGGTTGGGGGGGGGGCCCACCCCCCGGTTCGAAACGCGCCGCCGAATGTTCCCAAGGCAAGCTCCCGTGAAACGCGTTCTCTCAAACATAAACATGTGCTATCCAGCGTGGGCCACAATCACAAGTTCATGCACTATAAATGTGCAAATTATGTTGAGCAAACTAACTATGTGGTGTAAGCTCCGTGGTGCAGTATACGTGGCACAAATAGGCGCCAACGTGGCGAAACCTCGCAGACCTACCAGCCGCACGAGGCGGCAACGAGGCGGCAACGTGGGAGGGAGGGTGAGGAGGGAAGGCTTCTTAGAAAGAGGCTGCTTCTTAGAAAGCGCTCGCCCTACATCTATGGACAAGGCTCGCGCCTCCAAAGAAGCAGCGTCCTTCTAAGAAGCCTTCTCCATTCTCCCTCCCCCCCTCTGCGCAAGGCCGACCCTTCCTGAGCACTGGTTTCTCATCCAAGACAGTGTCTGTTAACCCTGGGGCCCGAGACCCGAGTACGGAGGCTCAGAGTGGCGGAACGATAAGATTGCCGCCACGATCTGTTCGTGCGATGCCAGATCTAAGAACCTCCTTCTCCTCGTCATAGATTGCCTCCTCCTCTCTCCTCCTCTTCGTCCTCCTCCTCTCTCTCTCTCTCTCTCTTTCGTTCGCCCTCCCCTCCGCCCCCTCTCGGGCGGGCCGAACGGAGGCGATGATTCGGGAAACGGGGGGGGGCGAAACCTGGTGCACGCAGGATGTTTCGGCCCCAGTGCACACTTTCCTCGATGAGCCAACTTCGTGAGCTGGTCCGATCCGATCCTCGGCCGCTGGGGAGGAGGACCCGCGACTGACACACTTCCGCTACGTACCTAGGCCTCCTGGATCGTCGATGCATCGGCGATGCGGCGCGATCCTGCCCCTACACCCCACGATTTCGGAGGGGGAGGGTGGGGTTCACTTCGCTCGGGAGGGGGCGGTTCGGGTTCACTTCGCGAGCGAAGTGAACCCCACCCTCCCCCTCCGAAATCGTGGGGGGTAGGGGCAGGGTTCGCATGTGGTCCCCTACCACCTCCGATGTGTGCCTGTCAGCTGGCCCGGGAGCGGATGAGCAGCGCAGGGGCCGTGCCGTGCCGCCCTGCCACCGCTCGAGACCCAGCGGGGAGCAGGTTACGGAGCCACTTGGGCCCACAGTCGCTTCCAGCCCGCAAAGGAGTGAGAGTAGCAAAAGTGAGGCCAAAATAACTTCTGATGTCATGCATTTTCTCTTGCGCCATCTCAGGCAGGTCAACAGCAAGCATCAAGTGATGGCGAGGAAGGAGGAGAGGAGTGGGGCGTGAAATCTGAGAAATTACTGGAACCCGTCTCTGGTTTAATACACACACACACACCAGAGGTCAACGATAAGGGAAGACTGGCCCGGGGGAGAGCATCGAGCTGGACTCGGCAATGCATCGCCGACAGACTGGCGATGGGCCCCCGGTAGTGATTCCGAACGCTCCTGGGCGACAGGGGTCGATGCATCCCCCCCTGAGCCAGCCCCCCTTGCTGATGCCCCTGGACACCAGTGGTCCTCACGCCCCATCTTCGAGGCTGGCCCCAACAAACCTCCAACATGCGTGTTTTCCTAGATGTCGGAACAGGCAGTCTTCATGCCCCTCTTGTGAGGAAACCCGAAAATACCGATGCCGCCCCTCTCCAGACCTCTCCCGGGGTGCGTTCAGACCAGAATTCGGGGGCGCATCCAGCCGAGGTGACGAGGGCATCCCAGGAGGCCCAAAAAGGCGAAAACGAGGCAAGGAAAGCGGTACGGGTACCTTTTCCTACTCCGACTCTTGGACCCACCCTGCTGCGGCTATGGCTTGGGCCGGAGGGAACGGAGAGCGACGGGGGAGGGCGGGAGGAGGGGGTAGCAGGAGGAGAGGGGAGGGAAGGGGAAGGAGGTTAAGGAGGGGGAGGGAGAGGGCACTCGTGGTGGCTTTGACTCGCTCGTTCATCCAATCCACCCTAGAACCAACCTGCAGTAACAGCTCGACCTCAAGAAGCCTTCCACGAGAAGCCCCACCCTGGTACCCTAGAACGTCCATTGACCTCTGGTGTGGGAACGTCACGCGTTCCCTCGCAACACCGTGGCACCCAGGGAAACCCAAGGGAGCACCCCGGAGGCCAGCCGGGTGTTCCTTGACATGGGCTTCCACGGTAAATTTCTGTCCCACGACTCTGGGCATCGCTCGGACGTCCATTCCCTGTGTTTTTTTCGGTGTTTTGTGCGCGGCTTTTTTTCGCCAAATGATCAGGGATGCTCCTCGAGGGTCTTCGCCGAAGGAAAAAAATGCACACGTCCGAGCGATGCCAAGGACTCCGACTCCTGGCACCCCCAAAGTCGAATCGACAAGTCGGATCGGCGAGCGAAATGAGTCGGATCGGCGAAAATCGGCAGCCGAGTCGGGAGAAGTCGAATCGGCGGAAATCGGCAGGCTAGTGTGCCTCCAATAAGAAATCGGAGCCCAAATCGGAATCCGAAGTCGAATCGAATCGGCATCGGAATCCAGCGAAATCGAATCGGATCGAATCGGAGGAATCGAAACGAAGCCCTGGGGCCCGCCCACTCTCGGGTCGGGCGAAAGGGGGGGATAGCAAAGGGGGGGTTTGAGAATCAGCTCGCGTAGCTGCTTTTCCCGGCGCCTCCCGGCGCCGGAGGCGGCTATGTATCGAGGAGTGGGCCCCTCGGCGAGGCCGAAACCAGCTGCATGCAGCAAATTTCGTAACCCCCCCTTTCCCGATCCCCCCCTTTCGCCCAGCCCGCCCACTCGACCCGAGGCCTCTCGCGGCGCCGCGGGGGCCTGCGACCTCAGCGTGTACACCACCAGGGCGCCGGCCTCGCCGTCGGCCTGCGGCCGACGGCGCCGGTGCGCGGCGCTGCCCCGGGGGCAGGTCGGGGGCGACGATGGGAAATCGAAGAGCCCAGGAGAGAGATCTGCACGCACGAAATGGGTACTGAAAGAATGGGTACAATGCCCAACAGCGGATCTTCTTCAGTTTGAACAGGGCTCGCTGTCCGCGTCGCCGCGGCTTGTGTCCGTTCGAGACAGGAGGCCACCTGCCCAACAGCGGCCGCTGTTGGTTTGGGACAACATTTGTTGTTGGGCATTGTGCCCATTCTTTCGGTACCCATTTCGGGTGTCCAAAAGAGAGAGTACTGCGTGTGGCCGATTCCGGAAACCCTGCACCCAAACATCGTATCATCTCTTGGCAAGCGCATGCTTTGCTTTCGCCGCCCTTCCGCCGCCCTTCCGCCCGCTTCCGCCGACGGAGGCGGCCTGGTTCTGCTTCCGCTGACCTTCCGCCGCCTTCCGCCGAGGAAGAGACAGCAACTCCCTCGATCCTCGAATGCAAGGCCCGTTTCGGAACGCCTCATGTGTCCAAGCGCGCCGATGGTCCATGCCTTCGGCGAGGCTCCCTGGCGAAGACGTGTGATGCCCGCCCCTGGGCTATTGTAATTCGCCCCCATCGTTGACCCTGGGGAAGGGCGGCGGCGGGCGATAGGCGGCAGACACCGGCGGGCCGCTCAAGATAAGCCTGAGGGTTCTATACCGAAGAGACCCCCAAGAAGCCCCCAGGAGGCCCTCAAGACGCCCCAAGAGGCCCCAAAACGCCCCCCAGGAGGCCCCCAAACGGATCCCAACGAACATCCTGAAGCCTATGACCCACAACCCAGGCACGGTGGCGGGAAGGGTCGAAGGCCATTGAACAAAACACCTTTGGGCCAAGAATCCGCAGCCACGCCTCTCGACATCACGCGAATCGGCAGGCAACCCAAAATGGAGGCGCCGCAGCTCCGTAGCCCGCCATAGCTGTGGAGGAAGACAAATGAATCTCTCGACGCCGGGAGCGCTGTTCCCCCCCATGAGAGAAGACGGGGGTGTGCCCCCCTGTGCAATTCCGGGGCTAACATGAGGGGGAGCTGCGTAGCCGTCACGGCGGAGGCGCGGCAAATCGGTCAGACGCTAATGTGAATTACGGATCCGTGGATCTGGCGCGTGGGCGCCAGATCCACGGATCGGGAACGCACCTTCAAAACATAGGACCAACACCGCCTGAGTGAGTGAGTGACGGAGCGTCGATTATGTGCGGAAACGGGACGGACCCGTCACTAATCCACGCGCGATCTTCTATGTCTGCGTTCCTCGAATACTCACCGCCTGCTGAGGGTCCCCGACGATCCCCCGCCTCGGCGCGAGGAGCGCGCCAGGGGCAACGCCGGGAGGAAGAGGGGAGGGCAGGGGGGAAGGTCAGAGGAGGAAGGAGGCGAGGGGAGGAGGGACAAGCCATGTGCGCTCGCGTCATATCTGACGTACTACCCCTCCCTCCCATCCCTTACCATGGCGCTGATTTTCTCTATCTGCGGACGCGTGTCGTAGCGGACCTGTGGCTCCGCGCGCGCGTGCGTAGTGGGTGGTGGTGCGCGTGCGTGCGTGCGTGTGTGAGTGGTTGTGGTTGTGGTTGTGGTTGTGGTTGTGGTTGTGGTGTGGTGGTGGTGGTGGTGGTGGTGGGTGGTGGTGGTGGTGGTGGTGTGTGTGTGTGCGTGTGTGTGCGCGTGTGCTGTGGTGTGACGTGGTGTGGCGTCTTGGTGGTTTGGTGGTGGGCCAGGTGCGTGCGTGCGTGATGGCGGTGGTGGTGGTGGTGGCGGTGGTGGTGTGTGTGTGTTGTGTGCGTGCGTGCGTGCGTGCGTGCGTGCGTGCGTGCGTGCGTGCGTGCGTGCGTGCGCGTGCGTGCGTGCGTGCGTGCGTGCGTGCGTGCGTGCGTGTGTGTGTGTGTGTGTGTGTGTGTGTGTGTGTGTGTGTGTGTGTGTGTGTGTGTGCGTGCGCGTGTGTGTGTGTGTGTGTGTGTGTGTGTGTCTGTGTGTGTGTGTGCGTGCGTGTGTGTGTGTCTGTGCGCGCGCGTGTGATGTGGTGTGACGCGGTGTAGCGTGGTGGTGGTGGGTGGGGTAGTGGGGTGGTGGTGGCGGTGCGCGTGCGTGCGTGCGTGCGTGCGTTGATGGGTGGAAGTGGCGGTGGGCGGGGCGGGGCGCGGTGCGGTGGTGGCGGGCGGATGGGCGCGCGAGAAAGAGGCCCTCGCTGGGGCGAGAACGCCATCCTGAACGACGGAGGCAAAACACCGATCCGAAAATGAGACCCGCGCTGCAGCGGGAGCACGATTCGGAACGAGCGGGGCCCGAAAATGAGGCCGGCGCCTCAGCGAGAGCAGCATAAAAAAATGCAGGCGAAAACCCAACTCCCGGGAATCCTGTGTGTAAAAAAACAGGACGCGGGGGGGGGGGGGGGAACACTCCCAGCATGTCATCAGGGGAAGAGGGAGAGTAGTACCCACATTGACTAATTGTAGAGAGGAGAGGGGAGGAGGGAGGAGGAAGGAGAGGGCGGCAAGGGGAGGAAGGAGGCGAGGGGAGAGGGGAGGAGGGAAGGAGGCGAGGGGAGGAGGGAAGGAGGCGAGGGGAGGAGGGCAGGTGGGAAGAGGGAAGAAGTGAGGAGAGGGAAGGAAGGGGAGCCACCTTTCCTCCCTCCTCCCAAGATCAATCAACCTCAAATCGGGAGAGCGGATCGAATCGGAATGTTCGTTAGAATGTTCATGGGTGACACAGAATCGGGATCACATCTGATCGGCCACGCCGGGTCGCACAACAGCGCCATACACGGCATCAGGCCGCATCGGATCGTCTGAACAGCGGAGTCGATCGTCGGGCTGGCCAGAACCGATATCGGATCGTAGCGATCGGACCCAACTGGACCCTGCCTCCTGCAACGTTGCTGGAGAAACAATTCGGGGTCCTGATCAAACAGCCTCAGAATTTCCCGGGAAGTGCCTGGAGTTCATCAGGAAATACCTCAAGATTGGGTTCCGAAGAACATCCTTGGGATTCATGGGGAAACGCAACATTAGGATTCCTGAGGAAACCCTGACCATTCCTGAAATAACCATTGTGGTTCCTCAATCGCTCCGTACTCCCTCCACCTCCCTGCTCCCTCCTCCTTCTCCTCCTCCTCCTCCTCCTCCTTCCGTCGGGTGAGGAGGGAGGGAGAAGAGAGGGGGGGGGAAGAGTGCGAGGGCTTGGAATGTTATGGGATGGTTTCACAGTTCGCTGTGTGTGTTCGGGAGTTGGTTCTAGCGAGAGCCTGGCTTTTCACCCCGCGGCGGCCATCGGAAGTCTACGCCAGCACTTCCAAATTCCACGCGCTGCTGATCTCCATCCAATTGCTGATGCCATCGGCCATGGGATCCAGCTGGGCGCCTCCCGCGAGGGCTCTGCAACGGCGACGTGCCCGACATGGCCTGGGTCAGCACCTGTGAGGGCTGCGCGCATCTAATTATGCAGAACGCCTCGCCATGCATCGCACACGACGACCGGCATGTGGCTCCCCGTGGCTAAAGCAGGGCTGTGGGCAAACTCCCGACGATCCTCAACCCTTTAAAAACGTGCCCGGTGAAGCCGTTGCCCCGAGGCAAGCAGCGCACGAATCAGCAGAGAGCCGACAAGCAAAGGCGCTCGCGGCACTCCGCCAAGCGAAGCTCGCGCTGCCGTGCTGCGAGTGCAGCCTCTGCTCGGACTTCTGGCACGGCGACCAACGGCGCCTGAACAGAGCTTCCGCAGATGCACACGCCCCACCTGGAAATGCAGGACATGAAGGTGTCGCTCAGATTACGTGTGCGGGCGCCACGCTCTACCAAACTGCACGCGGCCTCCGTCTCTCCCAGTTCGCCGGCCTGCACGGGCCACAAGCATGATAGATAGAGTACACGCGCAAGTATAATCAAAACTGATAGTAAGGATGCGCGGTAAGGATGCAGCCCCTTGTACGCCCATGTCGCGCGGATTTCTCGGATCGGCGCTGGGGCACCCTGGCGGCGCCTCCGGCGCGGCCCCGGGCGCGCTCCGCGCGCCAGGGAGGGGGGCCCAGCGCGGATCCAAGAAATCCGCGCGGACCTCCGAGTCTTCATGTTTATGGCATTTCTCGTTCGCCTAAAACACACCATGGGAGCCACTCGGCAGCCGCTTCACGAGAAAAAACGACAGAAGCGGCCCCCGGGCGGCCATTAGCACCCATCCTCGCCCCCCTGGACCCCTCCCCTGGGCCTCTCCCTAAATGGCTTCGCCCCAACTCAACTTGTTTCGCTCGGACCTCGCTCGTTCCGTCACCCGGGCCGGCATGGGAACGGAAAGAGCGCTTCAGGAATTTGCCCGAAATGGCTCATCGCAACTTTCGCTCTGGGCGGCCTGAATGTTACGAGCTTGTCGCGTCACCGCTGGTGTTCAGAGACTTTTGCGCTGACGCTCGCTCTTGGGAGCCTTGCTGCTGTAGAAAAATTGTTATGTCACCGCGCTCTGGGGAGCCTTGGTGTTACGAACTTTTTACGTCACCGGTCGCTGTTGGGAGCCGTGGTGTTACTTTGCGTCTCTCGGGCTTCTTGGAGGTCTTTTTGGATCCCAGTTGGTCCATTTTGTGTCCCTCTTGGGCCGTCTTGCGGCCCTTTTGGGCCGTCTTGGGGCGTTTTGGAAGCCTTTCGCAGTCTTAGGACTCTCTTGGGGGCCTTCTTGGGGACTCTTGGGGCCCTCTTGGGAGCCTCGTTGGGCCCTCTTGGGGCTCTCTTGAAGCCGTCTTGGGGCCCTCTTGGGCCGTTTTGGAGCCCTCTTGCGTCGTCTTGGGGCCCTTTTTGGACAGTTTTCGGACCCTTTGGGGGGTCTCTTGGGCCGTCTTGGGTCCACGACAGCCCCCACCGTCAGGGTCCACATGACACCACCGCCATAGTTCGGCATACCTCTCACGCGCTTCGTGGCCCCCATTTGTCTGCCCCAGGGTCAATCCTTCTCGCGGTGTGCTACAAATGAGGAGTGGGACATCTCCTGCGTCACTCGCAGCTGCATATTGTTGGGTCCTTCGCCAAGAGGTCCTATAATGGCCCCAAAAGTAGCTCAAGATGGTCCAAGACTGTGTCTCTTCCACACGAGCTCCAGAAGACTGCTTTGTCAAACTAGTGCCACCCAGACTTCCCATCGCCACGAGCAAACGAACATATGTCTATGGCGATACATCATGGGCCGACGGAATGCGCAAAGCAGTTGAATAACACAGCCACCTCCAACATCGAAGCGTGCGTCTGATCCACACCCTCAAGGTGGAAGAGGTCCAGACTGTCCTCAACATCCCTCCCACAGCGAATGCATTCCATGGTGGGGGCGAAAAGCTCCGCCACGATAACCCAGGCGCCTTCAGTGATGAAGTCCAGGTCTACGGGCGAGGAACCAAAAACAGTATTAAGATCAACTTTCAGAGGTCCACGCGGATTTTTTGGGTCAGCCCTAGACCCCGCTGAACCTGGCGCGCTTCGCGCGCCAGCGGAGGGCGGTCCAGCGCCGACCCGAACACTCCTCGCGTACCCTCAAATGCTGATCCTCATGCCGACTTTTGTTCCTCGGTACGGGGAGGCTGTTCAAGTCCACTCCGGCCGCGATTGCGGCGCTCACCGCCGGCATGTTGATACGGAGACGGCCGAGGCCAGAGTGTCGCTGTTCTTGGAGGCTTGGAATTTGGCACCAACGCCAACTCGAGGGGGTGCCTCCGCAAGGGGAAGATGATCCCAGATGTTGGTCCTGGAGGTGATATTATGGCCATCTTGGAGGCCCGACTATCAGCACCATCATCGAGATCGGGATCATCTTCCCTCGGTGGAAGCAACGCCGATATTTGTGTTGGTGCCAACCTCTAGGCCTCCGATGGTCGTCGCTGTCGTCGACCACCTCCACGAACAACGCACCAGAGAGGTCCCTGGGCGCCCCGAACATGGACGACCGAACCTCGCGCTGGAACAGATGGCTGCCGTCCTCGCCTCCGCCCGCACAGGCCCGCGCGGCGTCCGCGCTGCCGCCCAACACCGCGGCGGCGAACATGCCGATGTCGAGCTGCACCGCGCCGTTCCCCGTCTGCACCGGCGCGTCGGGGCCAAAGACCTCGAGCGTCCAGCCTGGATCGAGCGCGCCGGCGCGTATGGCGACGGGCCAGAGGTGCGGGCTCAGGAGCCGCAGGCGGGGGAGCTTCACCTGCACCGCGTCGGCGGGGCTCCACGCGGGGTGCTCCACGTCCACCCAATCAGACGCCGCCCAGGCGCGGCGGCTCTGCACCCTTCGCGACGCGAGCTGCTCGGCAATGTTCGAAGAGGAACAAGATACGCATAACCATAAACTTTTGGAGCTCCGCGCGGATTTCTGGGATCGGCGCCAGAGGCGCCGCCCAAGGGGTTCCAGCGCACATCCAAGAAATCCGCGCGGAGCTCAGAAAAATTGTGCCCATTCCCGAAACAGTGATTGCACTTGGGGGCGCTTACCTGTCCTGAGGAACTGAGTCTGACCGCAAGTCTGGCAGCTATGTTGTCGACGTCGCCACACCCCTTCGCCGCTTCGTCGCCGCCCGTCGTGTGGGCCTGACCGTCGGTCTGGCGGCTATGTTGTCGTCGTCGACGCCCCGTCGCCGCCCGTCGTGTGGGCCTGACCGCCGGTCTGGCGGCTATGTTGTCGCCGTCGCCGCCCCGCCGCCGTCGCGTCGCCGCCCGTCCTGTGGGCCTGACCTCCAATCTGGCTGCTATGTTGTCGCTTTCGCCGTCGCTTCCCGTAGTCTGGGCCTGACCGCTGGTCCGGCGGCTATGTTGTCGCTTTTGCCGACCCGTCGCCGCTCAGTTTGTATTGCTTCGAATTGTTTTGAGCATTGCGTTACCGTGTTTCGCATTGTTTTGCGTTGCACTGTTTTGCGCACGATTGTTTGCACATCCTAGCTTGTACAACATAGATTGCACCACGTGTACTGCGCAACATCAACGTCACCACATACATTGCACAATATATATATATATATATATATATATATATATATGCACACATATAGACAGTGCACAACATAGGGTGCACAACATACACTACCCACCACACACGTTGTGCCTCGTTGTTTGCCCCACATCGATGGCGCAGCATATGTAACATGACAAATCGATTCCCATTCAAAATCGGAACGAAGATCTAGGACCCCCTCCTGGATCCCATCGCCCTCCCAGAGGATGTGCATGTTACATATTGTCCTGCCCCATCATTCGTCTTGATATCTAAATACGCACCATCCCAGGCAGGCCTGTATCGCCCCCCTCATCCCTGACAGATAATACCATGCGCGCGCAAATCAGCAATTCTTCATTGAAGAACCGTGAAGAACGATGACAACGTCCACGCGCGCGCGTCGTCGTTCGCGCATGCAGGGATTTTTCAAAAAGCCCCGGGCTTCGTGGGGATTGCGATCGAGCTCCCCTGAAAATGTTCTACTGTTAAAACATGGTTGCGCAACTTGATTGTTCAAAATCCACCCGCGCGTTTTTTGTTTGTCAATTTTTATGGCAAGCAATGGGTGCTTCATCACGTTCATTAAATGCGATCAAGCGGGCCCCTCGCACGCGCGTGCCGAAATCCGCCGACCCCTTGGGGAGCATCGGCGTGTGAGATGCTTCCTCCTCCCCAAACCCTTCCCCCCGGAGCCCGGTCCGGTCGATTTGGAGGAGAAGGGGCCGTCCGGCCGGAGCTCACCCGGCCCTTCCTGGGCTCCTTTTGGGGTCCACGACAGCTTCTGGGGCCGCCCAAGAGGCCCCCAAGACGGTCCAAGAGGGCCCCGACGCCCAGGATGTCCCATGACGGCCCCAGAAGCTTCCCAGACGGCCCAGGAAGCCTCTGAGAGCATCCCCAAGAGGGGCCCAAGAGGTCGAAATCGTCGAATTCGTATGGGGAAACATACATTTTTATCATGCACGTTTTGTCGGCCTTCGCGGCGTTGCAGACAGCCCCAGAGTCCCATAAGACGGCCCCAAAACGGGCCGACAGGTTCCCAAGAGGCGCTCGAAACGGCCAAAAGTGCTCCAAGACGGCCCAATGATGGGCCCAAGAATAGGAGCCTGAATCAACAATCCTAGCCTTCTGCCCCAAAGCGGCCCCAGAAGGGGCCCAAGAGGCGCTCAACAGGGCCCATGGGGCCCCCAAGAGGCCCCCCCAGAGGCCCCAAAAGGGACCCCAAGAGGCCCCCCAAGAGGCCCCAGAGGCCGCCAAGAGATCCAAAAGAAACCCCAAGTACCACTTGAGCATGCAACTTCTAACCCGCAGCCCAGGCACCAAGGATCTCAGGCCAACAACCAAGGCACGGTGGCGGGATGGTACACACGCATATATGTACACACACATATATATATACACAAACTTTCGCGGGCATCTACCTCGATCGAGAAGAAGAAGAGGAGAAGGACGAGGAGGAGGAAGAGGAGGAGGAGGAGGAGGAAAAGGAACGATAAAGAAATAAAATTTCGTCGTCGCCGCCGATGTCTCACACATTTTCGTGGTCTTTCGACCACCCGATGCATCTCCTCGAATTCGGCCTCCAAGAACCGTTTTCGGTGCCGAGGACCACCGCCGAAAGTCCGGGACGAGGATCGACCTCACTGGCAGGTGCTGCCCCGTCGAAAAGGAAGGAACACGGGGTGGATCGAGGCTAGAGGCATGAGACTCCTAGTTCTTGGGCGTTCTCCGCCCCCTTCTGGGCCTTCAGGAAGCTCCTCGTCGACACAGCTGGGTCCACTCTCGAACTTCTGGCCGGACGCAACCCCAGTTGGGTCTCAACGATCCCCGAGCCTATCCAGGAGGTGGAAAAGGAGGCCTGGGACAGGCCCCGTGAAGGCCCCAAGAAACTCACATAAGACCACGAAGACCTTCAAAACAATCCCCTACAAGACCCCCCCTTGAACCCCCCACACACTACGTAGGACAGACCGAAACCTCAAGATCGCCCAGCGATCGCGCACGTTCCGCGAAGTCAGTCTTTCACTCTTGCTGCCGCCCCAAGGGGTCGGCGGCGCGGCGTAAGCCAATGAATCCGTCGAGCGCCTCTGCGCGCTTGCGGGGGGGGAGGGGGCGAAACCCAAATCAAACTGTGCCATGCGGGCCACTCGCGCCAGTCGGCCGCGCGCGCATATGTCGAAATCCGTCCCAAACCTCCATCACCGACGCGGCATCATCATCATCGTCATCGGCGTGATGAACATCGAATCGGTCATTGGCCTTGCGGTCGTCATCATCACCGTCGTCACCAACATCGCTACTATCATCATCGCGTTTGCCGTTGTCGACGTCACCATGATACCTCGCCCGCCCGAGTCACCGACTCGCCCTGAAGTGCCTGCGCGAAAGCGCAACCTGCGAGACGCGCTGGGAAATCTCAAGCGGTCAGCGCCACAGCGCCCGCGTCGGTCGCGGCAGAGTGTCCGGCCGCTCTGCGCGCGAGCCTGCGCGCTCTAGAGCGGCTGCAGCGATGTGCCAGCCAGCGCAAAGCAGCTATCGCAATCGCCGCCGCAAGATGTTGCAAACAAAAATGCGGGCGGGTGAGTGGAACGATTGTGCAAACAGTGTAGTCGAGTTCGGCAGGGTGAAGTGCACCACATAGCTAGCTTGCACCAGTTACGTAGACTGCTCCACATAAGTTGTTGCACCACCTAGATTACAAGAGCAACGCTGTTTGGGGCACACGACGGCTGACATGCAGCTTCTTTCCTCTTCGAGATGTCCGTGTAATTCAGACGCAGGGCGAGGTCCAGGAGCGAGCAGTGGGCGCCGCCACCCGGAGCAAGTCCCCGCCGCCGCGGGCAGCCTCCGCCGCCGCCGGGAGGACCCGGGTGCTGCCGGGGGCGCCCATGGCCGTGTGCCACGCTTTTCTCAGGCCATCCGGGGGCCCCCGATGCCCTCGGGACCTCGTGAGGAGTGTTCTGAAGGCCATCTGTCGGCTACACGTAAGAGCGGCCCTAGGCAAGAGTGGCCTCTGGTGCGCGACTCGACTTCGGAGGTTGGAAAGGGGTGTGGCACAAAGGGGTGTCATGCTTATCGCGGGAATTCAATGTTACCTGCGATAGAAAACACCGCCAGATTCAGCAATGGCACCACACTCCTTTACACCACCACCCCTCTCCGACCTCCGGATCAACGGGGGCCGCGGGGTGGCCAGACCCGGGCGCGCTGGCCGCTGCTACTGCTTCGCGTTCAGCGAGAAGGGGGACCCCATTGGGCCTGCACCAGAGGACACTCCACCGACAGGGCACTCTCGCGTCTGGTCGAACCTGGGCCTCCCAGGAAAGAAAAGCCTGGGGATGCCTTGGGCCAGGGACACCTCCAGCAACGCCCGAGGGATTGCTCCAGTCCTGGTAGGTGCGTCGGAGCAGGTCGTCGTCGTCGCTGGAGGCCGAGAAGAGCAGGGCCGCAACTCGGAGCTCGTGGAGCCCAACGATGCCCCGCGCGCCGTCCCTCAGGACAAGGGCGTCCGGGTCGCTGCGCGCCGCGCTCAGCGCGGCTCCGAGGGCGCTCGAGGCGTCCATTGCGGGTCACTGGGCGGGCTGGGGAGCACCAGGCTGCAGCTCTGGCCAACTGGCAACGGATTCAGAGATGTTCACGCACTCCAGACAAAGGTAACTGACAACCTACCAGACCACCCCAGCCTAACCCGAAGACCCAAATTTTGGGTTGGGGGGTACGGGATCCACATGTGCTTGTTCAATGTTCCCCGACATCCCCCTCACTGGGAATGGATGGCAATTTGGGGCCTTCGGGTTGGGCTGGGGTGGTATGGTAGGTGGTGAATAACAAACTCTGCCTACTCGGAGATTCGAGTCGCCAGCCTCTGGAACCCGACCCCTTCGCGCTGGCGCTGGCTTTTTTCATCCTGAACCGTTTCTTGGCACCCCCCCGGGGCAAGAAAGCTGCCGCTTCCAACATCTGGCTTGATGCTTCCGAACGATCAGAAATCTGCAAGGCCGCTGCCATCTACCAACCTCAACCCTAGCAGACATTGACAATGACCGGTTACAGCTCATACCATTTGAAGGCCTCGCAGACCATATCTCAGACTTACCTGTGCTATAAGTCACCACAGGGACGCAAGCCTGCCATGCAGCTGCGTATTCTGCGCATAAGCGTACATCATGCAAGGTATCGCTGCCAAGTGCGACATTTTCAACACGAGTAAATATCATACGGCGACGATGTTCAAATCTACGCGCTTCGCCAACGATGGTTAATCTGCATAAACATTAACTTATTCAATGCTGGGCGCTGCACTGTCAAAAACCCTCCGATCAACATAATACGGTTTGATGTCCTCATCAACTGGCGAATCTACAAAGCAGTAACAGGCGAGGTGGGTAGCTGCGAGTCCTATCCAACACGATCGGTTTCATTTCAATCACCAACGGCTTGCAAACATGTCATCCGCATGCGTGTTAGGTGCACAAGCGCTGACCATGCAAGATATGCCATATTATTATTTCGACCTGCAACAGTCAACTATACGCATTATGCATTGGTTCTCGCGAATCCGGCTCAGCCTGAACAAAATGTGTAAAATCATGCGATTGCTCGGTGGTTGGCCTTGCAATGTTCAGAGCATCCGGCAAGCAGAATACGCATTGGTTTCTGCATCCTTAGGCGAATCTGCAAAGCAGCAACAATCGAGATGGGTTGGTGTGAGCCGCATCCAGCACGATCCGCCTTCTCAGACTTACCTGTGCTATTTTGGTCACCACCGGATTGCAAACGTGCCATCCGTCTGCGTGTTCGGCGCATGAAAGGTCATCATGCAGGACCTGCCAATATTCAACCAATCATGCCACAAACTCGTACAACGCTCATGTCGGGTAAAGCATTGCTTCACGCAACTTTTGGCTTAGCCCAGGCGACGCAATGCATCGGCACTTCGCTGCCGACGAGAAATATGCGCAACCCACATGTGTCATAGCACATTCGAAATCGATGTATTGCGCTGCACTGTCAAAAACCTCCGAAATGCAGAATCCGCTTTGGCTCTACATCACTCGACGGATCTAAAGAGCAGAAGCCGTCGAGGTGGGTTGCTGCGAACCCTAATCAAACCTATCGGCACTCTCAGACTTACCTGTGCTATTTTGGTCACCACCTGATTGCAAACGTGCCATCCGTCTGCGTGTTCGGCGCATGAAAGGTCATCATGTAGGACCTGCCAATATTCAACCAATCATGCCACAAACTCGTGCAACGCTCATGTCTGGTAAAGCATTGCTTCACGCAACTTTTGGCTTAGCCCAGGCGACGCAATGCATCGGCACTTCGCTGCCGATGAGAAATATGCGCAACCCACATGTGTCATAGCACATTCGAAATCGATGTATTGCGCTGCACTGTCAAAAACCTCCGATATGCAGAATCCGCTTTGGCTCTACATCACTCGACGGATCTAAAGAGCAGAAGCCGTCGAAATGGGTTGCTGCGAACCCTCATCAAAATTATCGGCACTCTCAGACTTACCTGTGCTATTTGAATCACCACCAGATTGCGAACGTGCCGTCCGTCTGCGTGTTAGGCGCACAAGTACTAATCATTCAGGATCAGCCGAATCATGGCGTAAGAATTCTACAAAGACATGCAAGACTCATGACGCGTGGCTTTTCGCAGCTTCTGGTTCAGCCCAAGCACACCCATGCATCAACACTTCGACGCCAGTGAACACTTAACAGAGCATGCCATGTTTCCGCTGCACGGGGCAACGCCGCCAATCTACGTCCAATAAGCTTCGTGCGTGATGGGTCCATGACCATTCGAGGACTTGGACAATTATGACAAACATGGAATGCTGGACGTCAGCCATTTCTCCGAAAGATGCGATCGGCATTCTCAGACTTACCTGTGCTATTTCAATCACCACGGGGTCGCGAAATGCAGCCCTCCAGTCAATCCTGAACTCATCACGCGATGCACTTGCATGCATAAATCCGGGGCTAAATGGACCCAGGCAATGGCAGAACCGCGTTGTACTGCTTCAGGGAACTTGGCTCTTGAATCTGAAAATGCAGAACAACACCTGCTCGCTGAAACGGACAGTAAACGGCACATGATCGGAACCATAACTGACAGCAAACACGGCGACGGAACCTCCCAGAAACTGCGAAGGAACCAAACAGCAAACGGACTACTGAACTAGAAAAAAAACTGCCCTGTCGTTTCCACGGCCCGCTAAGATAACCCCATGCCCACGATAATAATGTACCCCCCCCCTTAAGTCGTTAGAGTTTTTTATCGTCGACCAATAAGGAGTTTGGTCGGGGGCGCGGGGGCGCGGAGGCCGAACTTCATTATCACGGGAAAAGTTCGCCATCGAAGTTACTTCCTTCTTATGTTGATATAACAACATCAAGCGAAGCGAACACGTTGTTTCAGGATGTCTCAAGCGAAACCAATGTCCTTCTGTCTCTTTGTAGTTCTTTCTGTCTCTCTTTCTTTCTTTCTCTGTCTCTCTTTCTCTCTCTCTCTCTGTCTCTCTATCTCTTTCTCCTTCCTGGCCTCTCTGTCTCTCTCTCTCTGTCTCTCTATCTCTTTCTCCTCCTCCTCCCCCTGGCGCCCTGAACTTGTTTATCGCTGGGGTTGATTATCCAGGGAAAACGAGGCACGTGAGCTACCCTACACGAGCACTTAAAAATTTTAATTTTCATAAAGCGCTTGTAAATAAAATTTAATATATTTGAATCTTCAGTTTTTGTTGTTTTATCATCCTTTCCTCTTCTCTTTTTCCTTTTCATTTATTATTCTACTTTTCTGTTTAAATATGTATTCTCTCTTTAAGTCCTTCCTTTCTTTTTCTTTATGATGTATACCTCTTTCTCTCTCTCTCTCTCTCTCTCTTTCTCTCTCTCTCTCTCTCTCCATGCCCGCCCCTCTGAACTTTTTTATCCCTGGGGTTGATTATCCATGGAAAATGAAGCACATGAGCTACCCTACAGGAGCACTTAAACATTTTAATTGTCATAAAGCGTTTGTAAATCAAATATAATACATTTGAACTTGAGATGTTTCCTTCTCTTTTTCCTCCGCCTCTGTTTTCTTTTCTTTTTGATTTGTTTTCCTTTTTCTTTTTCATTTCTTATTGTTTAATTTTATTTTTGTTTGTGTATATCGCTTTCTCCATTCCTCCGCCCGCCTGAACTTTATTATCGCCGCGGTTGATTATCCAGGGACACCGAGGCGGATGAGCTATTCCGAGGATGTCTCAAGCGAAACAAGCATATACTCGAGGATGTCTCAAGCGAAACAAGCATATACTGAAGGATGTCTCAAGCGAAACGATACGTTTCTTAAGCGAAATAAGCAATAGTTTGACGGTGTCTCAAGCGAAATAAGCAACAGTTTGTGGATGTCGCAAGCGAAACAAAGGATTTGCCGAGGATGTCTCCAGCGAGATAAGCCATTGTTGAGGATATTTCTATGAAGACTAAAAGCCAAGGATGTCTCAAAACGTGCTCGGCTTGGTCTCCTCTTGATCATCTCTTACTTCGAGATTATGCTGAGGGCTGGTGGGCTACTTTGATTATCTCCCCCTGAACCCCGAACTTGATTATCCCCTAGTGTTTATTCTCGAAGGTTTAGGGTTATGGGGTCCAGAACCGGAATCCTGATCGAAGGGGAGCTTAAGCAGAGGACGTGGAGAGAAGGCCAGGGGGGCCGAATATTCAAGACAAACGGCCAGTGGGCGAGTGCTCCAGTCGCTGGAATGGTGGGATCCTGTCGGGCTTCCAACACGCCGAGAGACGACCATTTGCCCGCGAGCCACAACGAACGCCCTCGAACCGTCCCGAAGATCGGGCAGCAGGTAGTCCTGAGCTGGACCGGATCCTGAAGTCGGATCAAATCGGACACGGATCGGATCGCCAACGAATCGTCCCGAATCGAATCGAAATCGGATCGCCGTGCCCAGCTCCAGCTGGCCCTTGTCGATGCTGGTGAGTCGAACCGAATCGAGGCGGAACATAGGCGGCCCTGAGCCTTGGCGGGGAAGTGCTAATATCAATAAAGCGACGCTCCCATTGATTCGTGGACCGTTGCTGGCAAGTGCCATCGGAGAAGGCTCGTGCACGCTCCGTCAGAGTTGGGGCGGCGTGCTAAACCAGAAAGAGTACCTCTGCTCTCCAAGAAGTCTTCTGGAGGCCCTCCAACCCGGGCCAGAGTACTTACAGGGGGTCGGAGGATTGAACCGCATCGCCGACGAATAGGTGATGAAACGGCGACATACAGATGGGGGAAATTAGGCGCCGGATCGAGCAGCATCGCTGGTGTTTCGGCGATGCGGCGCGATCCTCCGACCCCATCTTTGAAGGTCTCCAGAAGCCTCTCAAGGCCATCCTCTAGCCGGTATCCAAACTCTATCCTGTCTTGATTTTTTACAGGCTAGGATCTCCGCGGACACGTCGTGGACGCTCACCCCGCGCCCAAACCTTGCTCAGCGGCCAGCAAAGACGATGAGCGCTGCTGCGAGGGGCCGAAAGGGTAACTCCACCAAGACGTCTGGTCAGCCAAGGAGGAGTTCAATGTACTGAACGGGGGTTGCTGAAGTTACCAGCCTGGAACATATCCCTATCCCTATGCTGGGCACCTCCTCATCACGAGGCCAATCTTAGGGATTCCCTTATTTTTTGAGGGCGAATCCCTAAGATTGTCATCGCCTTTTGGCGTGTCAATCTCAGGGATAGGGCTACGTTCGAGGCTAGTAATGAGGGTGCCCCTGGCCCAAACTTTTCCCCCGATCTCTCGCTCCCTTCCTGGGAGCCCCCCTGGGGGCCCTCTGGGCCTCGTGCTGGGGCGCTCTGCATGCCGTGCGGGCCTCCCTTCTTGAGCCTCCCGGGAGCACCCCGGGCGGGGGGACGCCTCTGGCCACCACCCGTGCGGTCGCCTCGGCCTTCCAGGCCGTGGGAGCCTACAGGGCAGGTTTTAAGACATGTTTTTTTTGTACATATTTTTGTAAATCTGAGATTTTTACTACATGATGACTGCATGAGCAAATTGATGCATGAACGCATCGCTGTTTCTAGTACCAACTCCCTGCATTTTTAATACATGATCCGCACGCGGAGCATGCATTAAAAAACGGCACTGTAAAAGCGCCTCTGCGCCGAGCGCCTGCACCGGAGCTGCACGGCCCCATGGCTCCCCGTCCCTGGGGAACCCCACCGGTACCCATGCCTCTGCTCCCCGGAACTCTCTCGGGCTGCGTGCCGGCAAGGACTTCGAGGCAAGTCCAGCGGTGGCGACGCAGGCCTCCCAAGACCGAACAAAAAGGAAACGAGGCAGTGGGCAACGGTGCGGGTACCTTTCCCTCCTCAACAATTACTCAATATGAAAATACTCTCCCTCTTCCCCTGATGGCGTCCAGGTGATGGCCGCGCACCCTCCGCGTACTGTTTTTTACACACAGGATGCCCGGGAAATCCTGGGAAACGACTCTCGCTGAGGCGCCGGCGTCATTTTGTTCCCAAAATGCTGCTCTCGTTGAGGCGCCGGCCTCATTTCTGCCCCGAATCGTTCCGAATCGTGCTCCCGCTGCAGCGTGGGCCTCATTTTCGGATCGGTGTTTGGCCTCCGTCGTTCAGGATGGCGTTCTCGCCCCAGCGCGGGCCTTTTTCTCGCGCGCCCATCCGCCCGCCACCACCGCGCCGCACCGCCACCACCACCACCACCACCACCACCACCACCACCACCACCACCACCACCACCACCACCACCACCACCACCACCACCACCACCACCACCACCACCACCACCACCACCACCACCACCACCACCACCACCACCACCACCACCACCACCACCACGACAACCACGCACACACGCACGCACGCACGCACGTGCACCACCACCCACTACGCACGCGCGCGCGGAGCCACAGGTCCGCTACGACACGCGTCCGCGGATAGAGAAAATCAGCGCCATGGTAAGGGATGGGAGGGAGGGGTAGGACGTCAGATATGACGCGAGCGCACCTAGCTTGAGAGTCCCCACTCTTCCCCTACCCAGTCCGAGCTTCGGTCGCGCCGAACCGAGCAGCGGAGAGCTCAAGGCGGGTCGCGCCAACAGCGGACTCGGCCCCCGCCCGGCACGCAAATTTGGCTCGCCCGTGTGCCCGCACGCGCGGCATACACCCTCGCTAGGAGATTGAGAGAGAGAGGGATGGAAAGAGAGAAAGAGAGATAGAGAAAGATCAAGAGCGAGAGAGAGAGCGAAGCAAACCAACAAAAAGAGAGAGGCAGACATGAAGAGAAGGACATAGGGAGGGCGAGAGAGAGAGAGAGAGCGACGAGGGATGGACAGGCTCTGGGGGGGGGGGGGGGGGAAACCTCGATGTGGAATCGGCGATGCGCCGCCGATTGATCGGCGCCGGGCCCCCGCAATCCGCACGCTCTCGGGCGGGATGGGCCATCGGCGAACCCCCCTCGGGGATCACGCGGAAGCCGCTCGAATCTGGAAGTCACTCTTTGATCTGAACCTGACGACCTACCAGACCACCCCAACCCAACCCGAAGACCCGAATTTCGGGTTGGGGGGGGTAAGGGTTCCACACGTGTTTTTTCTATGTTTCCCGAACCCCCCCCACTGGAAATCGAGGGTAAATCTGAGCCTTCGGGTTGGGTTGGGGTGGTTTGGTGGATGGTGAGAACTAGAGCCAGGCATTTTAAAAAGCTGCGCATCCGCAGCTGGAGTTCCTTGGTTTCCTTGTGCGATTGGCGGTCGATGCGTCCCCCCGGAGCCTGACTCGGGGGCGTCCACAGGGGGGGGCGTTCCAAGACGCGGGGGCGCAAATCATGGCCGCCGGCACGTGCGCGGCCCAGGTGGGGCTGGGGACGTACTGAAATAGGAAGAGGCGCCATGAAATCTGGGGAGATGTCACGGCCCCCGCCATGATCTCCCCCCCCTTTTTGGACGCCCGAAATGGGTACGGAAAGAACACAGGCCGCGGCGGCGTGGACAGCGAGTCCTGTTCAAAATGACCAAGATCCGCTGCTGGGCATTGTGCCCACTCTTTCCGTGCCCCTTTCGCTCGTGCAGACCCCCTCGTCCTCGCCCCCCCTCCTGGCCGCCCCCGGCCGACCCCCGGGCGCTGCCCCTGGAGCAGGGAGACGGAGGGCCCAGGAGGGCGGCGCGCCGCCCCAGGAGCCTCGCTGGCCAGCGCGGCGGCCTCGGCGACAACCTGCGGGCATCTCGCGGGGGCGCCTTCTCTCCCGAGCGCGCTGCTCCCCGGCATCCTCCCCCGCTGCAGCGCTGCACAAAAACAACCGAGTAGTCACGATGCACGCCAGGGATGCAATACCATTGACCAATATGAGAAAGACAAGGGCACGTGTTCCATCTATCTCTCGGCTTCTGAGGTGTCCAATGCCTTCTCAAGATCCCCAGGGCCATTGGTGGATCAGAAATTGGGGTAGGGCACCCACTGGCAGATTGGTTTCGTACTATTCAGATCAGCTAGCCTGTAGGGAGTCCCTGCTCAATGCAGAAAGACTGGTCCGCTTGATCACACCCCATGTTTTGCGGCACGCTATGGAATTATCTTCCTCTGCTATTGCAACCCTTGCTATTGCAATGGCTTCCTGTGGCCACTCCAATGCCACCCCAACCATCGCCACACAATCGTCAAACTCAAAATTGGGGCAGAGTAAAGTATGCTGAACTAGAACAGAACAGATAATAACATAATGACGTCGAAGAGAATATGATTAGAGCACAGTCGGTTACGCAAGTTCAAAACTGCTACAGCCGGGGTCCCTTCCAAACGCCCATTTCCCAATGATTCCTCGGTATTCCTTACGATCCCCTTGGATACCGAATACATCCCCTCCCTCTAATACTGAAAATGCTCAGCCCATAATGTGTCACGGACGTCAATTCCCAGGAATCAGTAAGCCATGACAGATCGCGGACACCAAAGATGAACATCAACCGAACCGTACCCTACATTGTCTGCATTCGCAGAATGACTCGTGTTGCACATGGTGTACCCATAACGTGTGTGGAAATGATCAGATATGTGGGCCCCGTGTGATGTGCGATGTGCACAACGCGAAGCGTGAAGCATTTGAGCACTGGGAGGAGGAGCAGATCACTGTACGCGCGCTCCCCAGGGCACGCAAATCGGCCAAGCCGCGATACCCGTTTTGCTCGGTCATTGCGAATCGCAACGCTCTGGGCGCACGGCGAGCGCAAACACGAAACTGAAATAATTGCGACGGAGAGACATGGCTTGGCGGCCACGGTGTGAGGGTGCGGCACCAGGCCAAGCCTCCCGCATTACTACGACAGCGAGACTGTATTGTCTTATTGTACACGCGATCGTCGCATGCTGCATTGTATTGTCGTATTACCATTGCATTGTCTCAAATGGAGAGCGATCGCCGTTTTGTACAAGCGCCGCTCCGCCCCAGGATCCGGGCTCGTGGTATGCTGCTGTTGCGTGTGTTTAACCCTTTCCATACATCACCCCTCCCCTCCCCCCCCCCCTTCCATCTCTAGCCTGGGCGGCTGCGAGCGACGCTGTCGCGCTGCGGGTGCAAAAATGGCACGCGACTCGCGCCCCCCCCGCGGTGTCCGGGGGCGGGGGGGAAAAAGGCAAATCCTCCAGAGAGAGAGGCGCGGGCTGGTGGAGGGAGGATCGCATGATCATCCGCGCCGTCACGTGCTCAGATGGTCGAATCCTTGGCCGCATCGTCTTCGCTCGCCTCCTCCTTCTGCGGGGGACCAGCCTTCACGTCGGCCACAATGCGGAGCGCCGTGATCGCGAGGATCGGGTTGAGCAGGGCCCAGCCCCCGATGATGTAGCCGAGCCCGTAGCCGACGCCGTTCCCGATGTCCCCGAGCTTGCCCTTAGCCGCTACGATGCCGTCGTTCTGGTCGTCCTGGACCCAGCATGTCGTCTCCTGCCCCAGCGCGCTGAGGCCGATGGTCCACGCAGCGAGCAGAAGGACCCAGGCCACGCCGAAGGCGGCGGCGGTGCCCCAAAGTACCTTGCGCATGTCCCGCTTGTCCCCCCTGGCGAGGTACGCGAGCATCGCCGCCATCCCCAAAAGGGAGAAGACGATCCCAGCCACGCTCAGGCTGCCCGCGGCCGTCAGGCCGCCGACGTCCGTGCAGAGGTCGCCGAGCGGGATGCAACAGGCCTTCGGCAAGGCGTCCGCGCTGCAGGACGACGCTGGGGCCGCAGCCCATTTGGTGCCAGACTGGCTGTAGTCGATGGCATACGTTCGGGTGACCGCGGCGGACACGTTGGCGCACTGCGTCGCATGCAGGTCGCCACACCCAGTCAGCGCCTCACACCCACTCAGCCAATCCCCCGTCGTGGCGTCCGTGCACCCCTGCCACGACTCCTCGTACACGGTGTTGGCGCCCAGAACGGTGGAGAAGTCGCTCTGGTCAGCGCAAGCGGAGCTGAGGTCAGCCATGCACGTCGCGAGGTGCGCATCGAGGTCCGTGCCCGTGAGAGGGCTCGGGGCCCAGCCCACCTCCTCCGCGAACATGGCGGAGCACGCGCTCCAGGCGCCGATGCCGACGTGGTCCCGGGCGTCGAAGGACGCGTACTTCATGTCGGACCACTTGGCGTTCGGCACCGCCATCAGCATTACCAGGATCGAGTACCAGCCGAGCCCGTAGGCACAGGGCGCCAGCCACCACTGCCTCGCGCCACCGATGTCGGTACTGCCGATGTTCGACTCCTCCACCGCGGCGGACTGACCCTCGCCGTCCGCGGTGGCCATCTTCATGCTGGGCGGCATGAACGAGAAGTCCTTCTTGAGCGCCGCAGGCAGCCGCTCTGGGTGGTAGGCGCGCATGCCGAAGACGCAAGAGCCAGCGATCAGCAGGAGCAGGATCGGAAGGCCCACGAACACGAGCGCCGCCCAGTGCATCAGGGACAGCCCCAGGAGCAGGCCCGGAATGATCCCGAAGACGACGAATATGTAGGCGACAGGAAACCAGCGCAGGTCGGCGGCCACGCTACCCAATGCCCTGGCCATGGTGAGCGGAACGGCGCGCATGGCAGGGATCGGGAACCAAATGAGCGCTCCGATGAGGTTGAAGAACAAGTGCGCAAACGCCACCGTCATGCCGGTCGCGACGTTCGAGCCCGCCAGCGCAGACAGCATGCCCGTGACGGTGGTGCCCACGTTCGCGCCGACGGTGAACGGGAACATCTTGTCGAGCTTGATGAGCCCGATTCCGACGAGCGGCGTCAGCGTCGAGGTTGTTATGCTGCTGCTCTGCATGAGGATGGTGATGCCCACGCCGAAGAGGATGAGGATGTAGTCGGCCACAAAGGGCACCGTCTTGAACTCCAGGTTCAGCAGCCCCTGCATCCAAATCGCGGCGCGGCCTCGGAAGATCGTTTGCAGCAGCTTGACCAGGAGGATAAGCGTGGTGGACAGCAAAACCAGGGAGATGACCAGCAGCAGCCACCCAGCCCCCTCGTCGCTCAGGGGGGTGTCCAGGAACATATGGTTGTCAAGGGTACGCTTGTTCTGGATGATCGACTGTGCCAGCAGGCCGTCCAGCGTCTCCTGGTCGTCTGCCTGTGCGACCTTAGTAACCAACTTCTTGTCCACAGAGATCAGGCGAGAGGTGACCGGCTTCGTGAGCTTCTTGATGAAGTCGACCTTCTCCTGCTTTTCCTGGTCCTCCTCGATGCCGGCGGACTCGACGAGGGCGCTGCCGATGTGGTAGAGCATGTGAGTGAAGTATTCGAGCGGGAGCAGGATGGTCACTGTCAACAGATTGAAGCAGTCGTGCACCGTTGCGCCCGCGAACGCCCGGCGGTACTGGTCAACGTCGCCCATGTGGGACATGCTGACGATTGTATTGGTGACAGATGTGCCGATGTTCGCCCCCATGATCATGTAAATGGCGTTCTTGGGATCGATCAGGCCTGCCGCAGTCATCGTGATGATGATGGAGGTGCTGGTCGACGAGGACTGCACTAGCACCGTCGCCAGGATCCCGAGGGAGCAGCCCGCGAACGGGTTGTCGAAGATGGCGTTGTTCCGGAAGACTTTCCCGGCGGTGGGGCCTCCGATGACCTTGAACGCGTTGCCCATCATGCTCAGGGAGATGAGGAAGATGTAGAGAAGCCCCACCGCCATCACCACCTTCAGCACCTGGATGATCACGAAGAGGACCTTCTCTGGGCCAGTCCGCTGCGACCACGCCTTATCTCCGGACTCCATCTGCTTCACATCCCACTTGGCTTCCACGGCCGCCATCTTTATACGACTCTGCTGACTGTCTTCGTCCGGGAGTCCCCAGACGATCTGCCTCCCCCCCGAAGGCCTGCCTGCTTGAGCTGCAGGAGCTCGATAAAAACGGCTTGAGCCAAAAAATGGCTACGGGAGGAGGAGGAAGAGGAGGAGGAGGAGGAGGAGGATGTGGGGAAGGAACAGGGACGAGGAGGGGAAGGGGGGGGGAGCGGGAGGAGGGGAAATGGGGGGCGCTGCCGCCTCGACCCCCTCCAGGCGGAAGCATGTGCAGCGGCAGCAGGACAAAGAGGCTGACGAGGATGCATGTGAGGATAAAGATGGAGTTGGATGATGAAGAGGATGAGGAGGATGATGACGAAGATGAAGATGAAGATGCGGGCAATAGTTATATCCACGTCCAGTGCGTCTTGGAGTCTTGGGCTCCCTTGCCCAGAAACCGTAGACGCACTGGATACGGATAAAAATCTGGCCCCAAGAGGCTTGATTTTATCCAAATCCAGTGCGCCTCGGCGTTGTGGCACCTCTTCCCGAAAAGTCCAACACGCCCTGGATATGGATATAAGTACTGCCCGCAGAAGATGAGATAATGTTGCATGGCAACCGTACGGCGTCGGTGGCTTGCGTCGGTGTTAGCGCCAACGCCGTCGGTCATATTAGCAGCAATATTGCAACACTAGCGCGTCTCTAATGGGGGAAACGATTAAAAACAACTTTCTGGGGCGGACGATTAGAACAATTGTTTCGCGGGCCTCCTCGCCCCCGCAATAGCGGGGGGCAGGGCAGGCAGACCGGGGGCTGACAATTCGGGTTTGCCTGGAAGGCCAAGGGGGGGGGGGCACGGGGGGGCGATCCAGGGCGCGGGGGCCAGGGAGGTGGACGGGGTGACTTTTCAGGGCGAGCTCGTCCTCCTCCTCCTCCTCCGCCTCCTCCTCGTCCTCCTCCTCTTCCTCCT